TAATACTAATACTGTGCTACAAATACTCTACTAATACTATACCACACTATACTGATACTCTACTATTAATACTAATATGGTGCTACAAATACTCTACTAATACTATACCACACTATACCGATACTCTATTAATATTAATACTAATACTGTGCTACAAATACTCTACTAATACTATACCACACTATACTGATACTCTACTATTAATACTAATGCGGTGCTACAAATACTCTACTAATACTATACCACACTATACTGATACTCTACTATTAATACTAATATGGTGCTAAAAATACTCTACTAATACTATACCACACTATACCGATACTCTATTAATATTAATACTAATACTGTGCTACAAATACTCTACTAATACTATACCACACTATACTGATACTCTACTATTAATACTAATATGGTGCTACAAATACTCTACTAATACTATACCACACTATACCGATACTCTATTAATATTAATACTAATACTGTGCTACAAATACTCTACTAATACTATACCACACTATACCGATACTCTATTAATATTAATACTAATACTGTGCTACAAATACTCTACTAATACTATACCACACTATACTGATACTCTACTATTAATACTAATATGGTGCTACAAATACTCTACTAATACTATACCACACTATACCGATACTCTATTAATATTAATACTAATACTGTGCTACAAATACTCTACTAATACTATACCACACTATACTGATACTCTACTATTAATACTAATATGGTGCTACAAATACTCTACTAATACTATACCACACTATACTGAAACTCTACTATTAATACTAATGCGGTGCTACAAATACTCTACTAATACTATACCATACTATACTGATACTCTACTATTAATACTAATATGGTGCTACAAATACTCTACTAATACTATACCACACTATACCGATACTCTATTAATATTAATACTAATATGGTGCTACAAATACTCTACTAATACTATACCACACTATACTGAAACTCTACTATTAATACTAATGCGGTGCTACAAATACTCTACTAATACTATACCATACTATACTGATACTCTACTATTAATACTAATATGGTGCTACAAATACTCTACTAATACTATACCACACTATACCGATACTCTATTAATATTAATACTAATACGGTGCTACAAATACTCTACTAATACTATACCACACTATACCGATACTCTATTAATATTAATACTAATACTGTGCTACAAATACTCTACTAATACTATACCACACTATACTGATACTCTACTATTAATACTAATATGGTGCTACAAATACTCTACTAATACTACACCACACTATACTGATACTCTACTATTAATACTAATACTGTGCTACAAATACTCTACTAATACTATACCACACTATACCGATACTCTACTATTAATACTAATATGGTGCTACAAATACTCTACTAATACTATACCACACTATACCGATACTCTATTAATATTAATACTAATACTGTGCTACAAATACTCTACTAATACTATACCACACTATACTGATACTCTACTATTAATACTAATATGGTGCTACAAATACTCTACTAATACTACACCACACTATACTGATACTCTACTATTAATACTAATACTGTGCTACAAATACTCTACTAATACTATACCACACTATACCGATACTCTACTATTAATACTAATATGGTGCTACAAATACTCTACTAATACTATACCACACTATACCGATACTCTATTAATATTAATACTAATACTGTGCTACAAATACTCTACTAATACTATACCATACTATACTGATACTCTACTATTAATACTAATATGGTGCTACAAATACTCTACTAATACTATACCACACTATACCGATACTCTATTAATATTAATACTAATACTGTGCTACAAATACTCTACTAATACTATACCACACTATACTGATACTCTACTATTAATACTAATGCGGTGCTACAAATACTCTACTAATACTATACCACACTATACTGATACTCTACTATTAATACTAATATGGTGCTAAAAATACTCTACTAATACTATACCACACTATACCGATACTCTATTAATATTAATACTAATACTGTGCTACAAATACTCTACTAATACTATACCACACTATACTGATACTCTACTATTAATACTAATATGGTGCTACAAATACTCTACTAATACTATACCACACTATACCGATACTCTATTAATATTAATACTAATACTGTGCTACAAATACTCTACTAATACTATACCACACTATACCGATACTCTATTAATATTAATACTAATACTGTGCTACAAATACTCTACTAATACTATACCACACTATACTGATACTCTACTATTAATACTAATATGGTGCTACAAATACTCTACTAATACTATACCACACTATACCGATACTCTATTAATATTAATACTAATACTGTGCTACAAATACTCTACTAATACTATACCACACTATACTGATACTCTACTATTAATACTAATATGGTGCTACAAATACTCTACTAATACTATACCACACTATACTGAAACTCTACTATTAATACTAATGCGGTGCTACAAATACTCTACTAATACTATACCACACTATACTGATACTCTACTATTAATACTAATATGGTGCTACAAATACTCTACTAATACTATACCACACTATACCGATACTCTATTAATATTAATACTAATACGGTGCTACAAATACTCTACTAATACTATACCACACTATACTGAAACTCTACTATTAATACTAATGCGGTGCTACAAATACTCTACTAATACTATACCACACTATACTGATACTCTACTATTAATACTAATATGGTGCTACAAATACTCTACTAATACTATACCACACTATACCGATACTCTATTAATATTAATACTAATACGGTGCTACAAATACTCTACTAATACTATACCACGCTATACTGATACTCTACTATTAATACTAATACGGTGCTACAAATACTCTACTAATACTATACCACACTATACTGAAACTCTACTATTAATACTAATACGGTGCTACAAATACTCTACTAATACTATACCACACTATACTGATACTCTACTATTAATACTAATATGGTGCTACAAATACTCTACTAATACTATACCACACTATACCGATACTCTATTAATATTAATACTAATACGGTGCTACAAATACTCTACTAATACTATACCATGCTATACTGATACTCTACTATTACTAATACGGTGCTACAAATACTCTACTAATACTATACCATGCTATACTGATACTCTACTAATATTAACACTAATACTGTACTACAAATACTCTACTAATACAACACCATGCTATACTAATACTCTACTATTAATACTAATATAACGCTACAAGTACTCTACTACTTCACCATGCTATGCTAATACTCTACTATTAACACTAATACGGTGCTACAAATACTCTACTAATACAATACCATGCTATACTAATACTCTACTATTAATACTAATACAACGCTACAAGTACTCTACTAATACTATACCATGCTATGCTAATACTCTACTATTAACACTAATACGGTGCTACAAATACTCTACTAATACTATACCATACTGTCCTCATACTCTACTAATATTAACACTAATACTGTGCAACAAATACTCTACTAATACTATACCATGCTATACTGATACTCTACTAATATTAATACTAATACTGTGCAACAAATACTCTACTAATACTATACCATGCTATACTGATACTCTACTAATATTAATATTAATATGATGCTACAAATACTCTACTAATACTATACCATGCTATACTGATACTCTGCTAATATTAACACTAATATGGTGCTACAAATACTCTACTAATACTATGCCATACTAATACTATTCTAACACTATGACATACTATATTAATACTCTACTAATACTGTCCCATACTATACTGGTACTCTACTAATACTATACCATACCATACTAATACTCTACTATTAACACTAATAGTGTGCCACAAATACTCTAATAATACTATACCATACTAATGCTATTCTAACACTGACATACTATATTAATACTCTACTAATACTATAGTATACTACCACCATGCTAATACTGTATGAATACTAAAAGTAATACTATACTATGTTTCTGTTATTATCTGGAAATGAAATGTGACTTGGTAACTGGGTGGCCTCTATTTTACCTGGCAGCCCTCAAGGGCCACTTGTCTCAAGCAATCAAGTGAGACTTTCTGGAGGAGGCAGGTCTTGAGCTTGGCAAGCATGTGGCGGGGAGAGGGGAGGGCTGCAGGTGCAGGGACTGGGTGTGATGCAGCCAGAGACAGCATGGAGGCTGCCTCAGTCGGTCACTCTGAGGCCCTGCAAATTCACCTCTTCCAGAAGGTTCTCGTGTCCCTGTGTCTGCTGGGATGTGCCTGAGACAGTCACCTTCGGGTGTGCTGAGCCCCGTGCACAGCACCTCACCTGCAACAGGATCCTTTCTGTGTGAGGACAGCAGGGTGTCCTCCGTCTGCCCAGCCCCCAGGGGCCTGCTGTGAGCGCCCTTGTCTGCACCTCCAGGGGCAGATGGGCTGTACCAGGTGCTAGGACCGTTCAGTTTTAAACACTGCAAAAAGTTTCCAGACCCACGCTCTGATACGCACAGCACCAGGAGCACGCAGGATGCCCGTGGCTTCTCCCGAGCCACTGGTATCGTCCCGTCCTCTGACCCCAGTCTACCTGGCTGTTCTGACCCCATCGGTCGCTCACCACACTCTGTTTCCGTGGGCTGCGTCTTCCCCGATGCATTTGCAGGAATCCAGGAGGTCCTTTGCACCAGGCCCTGCCCGCGGCGCTGTCACCGCCCACAGCCATCTCCTCGGGACTGTTTGCTGTTTTCGTTGTGGAGAGGGGTGATGTGTGGCCGCATCGTCGGCTGCAGGAACCCGCCAGCAAGGGGCATCTCACCCCAATCACATCCTGCCATCTCTTCCTCTTCCCTGAACCCCCAGGGCGAAGAGAACCTGGTGGAGCCTGAAGGGGACAGCTTCCCGCTGATGGAGATCGGTCACTGCGAGGTGGGTGTCCATGGGCCCCTCCTGGGCCCCGCCTGGCCCTGCCCTGCCCCTTCGCCTGCACCTGGCCCTGTGCCTCCTCCTGCAGACCGAGGCCTCCGAGCAGTGGGACTACGTCCTCGTGGCCGACCTTCGCACCCAGAAGGACCCCCAGCAGATGCAGCAGCAGTGGCAGTTCCTGGAAGAGCTCAGGAGAAAGGGCTTCCACACCAAGGTGGGCTGGTGCCCAGCGAGGGGCAGGGGCGTGGGGCGTCAGGAGAGGAGCCACTGCTGCAGATGTAGGGGAAGGTTTTGAGGTGGAATAGAGGGTCTCATGCGGCCCCCCTACCCCCAGATGATAAAGGACCAGAAACAGGTGTTCTTCGGGATCCGTGCTGATAACAGCATCTTCGACCTGTACCGCACCCTCCTCCCGGAGCCCGAGGGTCTTGCCCGCCGTGCCCAGCAGGCCTCGTCTGTCCCAGTCACCACAGGGTGAGAGGCTGCACCCAGAGCCATGGCCGGGAGGACCCCTCGCCGCCTGCTTGGTCCAGACCGAGCAGGAGATAGTGCCAGGCTCTTGGCGCCGCCAAAGCAGGACAACCACAGGGTCTCAGGGCAGGGGCCCCGGGTGTGAGACCCACCAGCTGTGTGAGCCTCAGCTTCCCGTCCCGATAAAGGCTTGTGACGGTTCCCGCCTCTCGGCGCGTTCTGAGGGCTCCGTGTGGCTGCCTACGTTCCTGGGAGAGTCAAAGCCAGCCTTGGGGGGTGGGCAGGATTCACAGAGGCCCAGAGGCCCCCCTGGACTAAGGCCAGCATCTCCTGAAGGCCCCTCCTCTGCAGGTCCAATGCCCCTCCCTGGACACTGTCCCTGGCCTCCCAGAGGCCCGGCAGGGAAAGCCTCCTCGCTCCCCAATCCCCTGCTTCTCCCCAGTCCTGGAGCCCAGGAGGGAGCCTCCAAACCTGGCCCTCCATGCCCCCCTGACCTGTTCAGCCCTGTCCAGGCCCCACGGGGCTCAGTCCATTTGGTGAATCAGCCAAGGACATTGTGAGCAGAGACAATGTGGGGGAGGAGTAAGGGGCATCAGATGGGGAGGTGGCTCCAGGGTCTGAGGGGAGCTGCCTCAGGACGTCTCAGGACGTGGGCCTGAGACCTGCCCTGGGGTGCCCAGGAGCCATGTCTCTCAGCACGAGGCGGGGCTTGGAGCCGGCCTGGCTGTGCTGCTCCCTGGCCATGTGGCCTCGGGACGTTCCCTTCCTAAGCCTCAGTCTCTGCTCAGGCAGAACAAAATCACTCACAGGGTGTGAGGAGGGTTTGTGTGTATAACGGCTGGGGTGTGCTCTGGAGGTGGGGGTAGGGTTGGAGGTGGGGCTGTGGGTTGGGAGGGGAAGGAGGCCCCCCAGAGCAGCCTCATCCTGGAGGCCGTGGGGCAGGCCAGACCCCGGGAGGGCTTTCAGTGGGGGGGTGGACTCCTGGGTGAGTTGTGGATTCTGGGGTCTGGTCAGGGCTGGCAGGTTGGGGGCTCTGCCGGGACGGGAAGGGGCCTAGGCCTGGCCAGACCAGAGGGCAGGTGGAGACCTGGAGGCAGGGTCCACTGTGGCCACATGCGGCCGTCCTGTCCCGGCTCTTGGGTCTCAGAATCCGAATCGTGAACTTCGTGGTCCAGAAAAACAAGACCTCCGCTGGCAGTAAGTGCAGGGCAGGGCAGGGCTGGGCACAGCCGGGGCTGGCGGTTAGGGTAGGGCTGGGCACAGACAGGGGCATGGTAAGGGCAGGGCTTTCCCAGCACCTCACTCCCCCAACTTGACCCATAGAGACATTCGAGAATTTGGTGAAGGACGGGGTCTTCGAGACCAGCTTCCCCCTACACAAGGTGAGGGGTGGGCCAGCCGGGAGAGGGCCCTGAGGTGGGTTCCCGGATGGGAGCTCTCACTCCCTGTCACCCGAGCCAGGAGGAACAACAGCTGAAGACCTGGGCACAGTGGAGGGGCATGTTCCGCAAGCAGCCAGTGAATGAAATCAGGTAAGGTGGCCACAGCGGCCACAGGAGCCCCACGGACACCCCCACACCCTCCCAGAGGGCACCTCACCCTGCAGACGCCTCCACACACCGCCCAGAAGCCACCACCCCACTGCGGATGCCCCCACCCCTGTGGATGCCCACACATGGCCGTGACGCTCCCATGCCCCCCACACTGCCATGGACAGCCCCACACCCCTACCCTGCCATGGACGCCCCCTTGCCCACAGATGTGCTACCCATTCAGACTCACTGATGCCACCAAGGCAGAACCCCACCTCCCCCACCCCCATCCTTGCCCCACCGCCCCCGACAGCCCCGCCCCTGGCAGAGCGAGCCTCGACCATGGCTGCCTGCAGGGACTACTTCGGGGAGAAGGTGGCCCTGTACTTCGCCTGGCTGGGCTGGTATACCTACATGCTGGTGCCAGCCGCCCTGATGGGCCTCGTGATTTTCCTGAGTGGATTCTCGCTGTTCGAGGCCAGCCAGATCAGGTGGGCTTCGGCGGGCACTGTGGGGGGGCTGGGCTCTGCTGCCAGGAGGAGCCACCCCAGCCTCACCCTGCCCCTGCAGCAAGGAGATATGTGAAGCCGACAACATCCTCATGTGTCCCCTTGGAGACCACAGCCGCAGGTACCAGCGGCTCTCGGAGACCTGCACTTTCGCCAAGGTTTGTCACCTCTGGGTCCACCCCAGGGCCTACGGAAGGTGGGGAGGCCAAGGCCTGGAGCCCCGTGGAGCTGCTCAGCTTCCCCATGGGGCTCGCAGGGAGGCCGGACCCCACCCACCCACCCCTCTCCCCTGCTCACCCCTCCCTTCGCTGGCTCACCTCCCCGCCTCCCAGCTCATCTGGGCCCTGCTCTGGCCCCACTCTCCTGGCCCATCTGCCCCCTCTCCCTGGCTCACCTCTCCCACTCCCCAGCTCCCTGCGTCCCCACTCTGGCCCACTCACCACTCTCTTGGCCCACCCACCCCCTCCAGCCTCCCGTCCCCCCTCCCTGGCTTACCGGCCACTCTCCCGGCTCACTGCCCCCCTCTCTGGCACACCCACCCCCTCCAGCTAACCCACCTCTTTGACAACGATGGCACGGTGGTGTTCGCCATCTTCATGGCTCTCTGGGGTGAGTTGCCGCAGGACGCCTCTGCCGGGCAAGGGGAAGGGCCAGCCCAGATGGAAGGCTCCCCAGAGTATGCACTGATGCCCCCCATTCCCCGGACACAGCCACAGTGTTCCTGGAGATCTGGAAGCGGCAGCGAGCCAGTGTGGTCCTGCTGTGGCACCTGTACGGGTGGGACGAGGACCAGGTGAGTTGGGGCTGCGGCGTGGCCACTGTCGGTACCCGGAGCTCTGCGCAGCCCAGCTATGCCTGATGTGTCTGAGGCACATGTCCCTGTGTTTCCCCACATGTGGGTCATGTGTCCCGTGTCTGTCTCTCCACGTGTGGGTTGTGTGTCCTGTGTCTGTTTCACCTGTGAGGCATGTCCCGTGTCTGTCTCCTCATATGTGAGGCTTGTCCTGTGTCTGTCTCCCCACGTGTGAGGCATGTCCCATGTCTGTCTCTCCACATGTGGGTCATGTATCCCATATCTGTCTCTCCATGTGTGGGTCGTGTGTCCTGTGTCTGTCTCTCCACGTGGGGGTTGTGTGTCCTATGTCTGTTTCACGTGTGAGGCACGTCCCGTGTCTGTCTGTCCATGTGTGGGTGATATGTCCCATGTCTGTCTCTCCACGTGTGGGTTGTGTGTCCCGTGTCTGTCTCCCCATGTGTGAGGCATGTCCCGTGTCTGTCTCCTCACATGTGAGGCTTGTCCTGTGTCTGTCTCCCCACGTGTGAGGCATGTCCCGTGTCTGTCTCTCCACATGTGGGTCATGTGTCCCATATCTGTCTCTCCATGTGTGGGTCGTGTGTCCTGTGTCTGTCTCTCCACGTGGGGGTTGTGTGTCCTATGTCTGTTTCACGTGTGAGGCATGTCCCGTGTCTGTCTCTCCACGTGTGGGTGATATGTCCCATGTCTGTCTCTCCACGTGTGGGTTGTGTGTCCCGTGTCTGTCTCCCCACGTGTGAGGCATGTCCCGTGTCTGTCTCCCCATGTGTGAGGCATGTCCCATGTCTGTCTCTCCACGTGTGGGTCATATGTCCCGTGTCTGTCTCTCCACATGTGGGTCGTGTGTCCCGTGTCTGTCTCTCCACGTGTGGGTCGTGTGTCCCGTGTCTGTCTCTCCACGTGTGGGTCGTGTGTCCCGTGTCTGTCTCTCCACGTGTGGGTCTTGTGTCCCGTGTCTGTCTCTCCACGTGTGGGTTGTGTGTCCCCTGTCTGAGGCCTGCGCTCCACTCTCCTCAGGAGGAAATGGCACTTGAGCTCATTAACTGTCCCAGCTACGAGCTGCGGCTGCATGAGCACTCCTACCTACGCAGCACTGTCATCCTGGTCCTCACCCTGCTCATGGTACGCAGGGGACGCCGTGCTGGGGATGGAGACCTGCACGCCCTCTCCGCCCTCCCTGCCCCTACACCTACTATCAGCCCTACATCCCCCCACCCTCGCACCTGTGCCCTCCCTGTCCCCATACCTCCCTGCTCCCTGTGGGGGCTCTCCCATCCCTGTGCCCTCCCCGGCCCCACACGCCCTCCCCGGCCCCCGTGCCCTCCCCGGCCTCTGCGCCCTCCCTGCCCCCGCGCCCACCGCAGCGTCCCACAGATCTTCCTCATGATCGGCATGGCGCACGTCCTGGTGGTCTACCGAGTCCTGGCCTCCGCGCTCTTCAGCAGCTCGGCGCTGCCCTTCCTGGAGGAGCAGGTGACCACAGCCGTGGTGGTGACCGGGGCCCTGGTGCACTACGTGACCATTGTCATCATGACCAAGGTGGGGCCGGGAGCAGGGTGGGCGGAGCTGGGGTCTGTGGGGCCACAGTGAGTCCACTAGGAACTCTCCTCCATAGGTCAATAAGCTCGTGGCCCTGAAGCTTTGTGACTTCGGTGAGAGGACGACCCAGACCCTCCTGGGGGACCTGGCGGGAGGACTCAGGGCTGGAGCCTTGGAGCTGTGGTCAGAGACCGGGGAGGGGGCTCCTCCCTGAGCAGGGAGAGAGGTGAGGGCCCATCCCTTTCCAGAGAAGCCCCGGACCTTCTCGGAGCGGGAGAGCAAGTTCACCATCCGCTTCTTCACACTGCAGTTCTTCGCCCACTTCTCCTCACTCATCTACATCGCCTTCATCCTGGGCAGGTAGGCTGGCGCCGGGCCCTTCCGACCAACGCGGGGGGCTGGTCCCGCTGCCTGTAACGTGGCAATGTCCATTCCTTTAATTTTAAAAACAGGCCAGGCGCAGTGGCTCACGCCTGTAATCCCAGCGCTTTGGGAGGCCAAGGTGGGCAGACCACCTGAGGTCAGGAGTTCGAGACCAGCCTGGCCAAGGTGATGAAACCCCGTCTCTACTAAAAATACAAAATTAGCCGGGCGTGGTGGCAGGTGCCTGTAGTCCCAGCTACTCGGGAGGATGAGACAGGAGAATCACTTGAACCTGAGAGGCCGAGGTTGCATGAGCCAAAACTGTGCCACTGCCCTCCAGCCTGGGCAACAGAGTGAGACTCTGTCTCCAGTAATAATTAGTGCTGAGAGCAATTGGAAATCCAATCTAGAGGCCTGTGAGGGAAGCCCGCAGCGAGCCCAGCCCCCGAATCCCAGGCCCAGAGGGGGCATCACAGCCGTCACTGGTGGTCCAGGCCTTCTCATGCATTTGCACGCACAGAGCTGGCAGAAATGGCTCTGTCCTGGGAATAGCTGCACCTGCTCTTTATGCTGAAAGGGTACGCAGGTCTGCCTTTCCACACATCTTCATAGACACACACACGCACATATATACATATACATATGCACATATATATATAGAGAGAGAGCACACGCATGTGAGACAGAGTGAGTGACAGGGTCTCGCTCTGTCGCCAGGCCAAAGTGCAGTGGCACAATCTTGGCTCACTGCAGTCTTGACCTCCTGGGTCTCCTGAGTAGCTGGGATTACAGGTGGGCACCACCACCCCCAGCTAGTTTTATATTTTTTGTAAAAATGGGGCCTCGCCATGTTACCCAGGCTGGTCTTGAACTCCTGGGCTCAAGTGATCCTCCTGCTTTGGTCTCCCTAAGTGTGAGGGTTACAGGCGTGAGTCACTGCCCCAGCCAAAGAAAGGTGCAGATCGATGGGCCCAGAAGGGGTCATCTCACTGATAGGGAAGGCGGGGCCAGAGGCGTGCCGGCTGCAGCTGTACCTATTTTTTTTGAGACAAAGTCTCCCTCTGTCACCCAGAGCTGGAGTGCAGTGGCAGAATCTCAGCTCACTGCAACCTCTACCTCCTGGTTCAAGCGATTCTCCCGCCTCAGCTTCCCGAGTGGCTGGGACCACAGGTGTCCACCACCACACCCAGCTAATTTCTGTATTTTTTGTAGAGATCGGGTTTCGCCATGTTGGCCAGGCTGGTTTTGAGCTCCTGACCTCAGGTGATCCGCCCTCCTCGGCCTCCCAAACTGCTGGGCTTACAGGTGAGCCACCGCACCCGGCCCTGTAGATGTTGGTTCTTGACCCCCATCTGTCTTGGGAAAGGCATGTGCCAGGCTTGCTGTGGGCCATGTCTCTCCTGATAGGGCCTCTCACTCTGGAAGTTCCTGGAGGCGAACCCTGATCTCCCATCTGGAGGCAGAAGGGTGCTGCCCATGTGCAGAGAGACCAGCTGGGGCTGGGGAGGGCTGGGGGGGACAGTGGGGACCTCAGTGTCAACTGGTTCAACCCTTCGTGCTGAGTTCTTAGCTGTTCAAACCCCTACTGAGCTTCTAGTCCTCCTGGGGGGCTTTGTGGTCAGGTAGGAGGCCCAGGGGCCTTCCAGCTGGGTCTGCACGCCCCCAAACCAGCAGGGGTACCCAAGTCCTGAGGCTTCCTGGGGATCCTGGCAGGCTGTGTTGCTTCCTGAGTGTCTCCCCTGAAAGCTGGATGTCTTGAGGGGACAGCAGGCCGCCCCGATTCCCTTCCACTTATATGACGATACTGGGAAGTGAGGGTCAGCAGCCTGTTATTTTATTTATTCACTTTTAGAGACAGTATCATGGCCGGGCGCGGTGGCTCACGCCTATAATCCCAGCACTTTGGGAGGCCGAGGCAGGTGGATCACGAGGTCAAGAGATCGAGACCATCCTGGTCAACATGGTGAAACCCCATCTCTACTAAAAATACAAAAAATTAGCTGGGCGTGGTGGCGCGTGCCTGTAATCCCAGCTACTCAGGAGGCTGAGGCAGGTGAATTGCCTGAACCCAGGAGGCGGAGGTTGTGGTGAGCCGAGATCGCGCCATTGCACTCCAGCCTGGGTAACGAGAGCGAAACTCCGTCTCAAAAAAAAGAGACAGTATCTTGGTCCATTGTCCCAGGCTGGAGCGCAGTGGTACAATGAAGGCTCAGTACAGCCTCAGACTCCTGGTTCAAGTAATCCTCCTGCCTCAGCCTTCTGAGTAGCTGGGACTATAGGCATGCGCCACCACGCCGGGGTAATTGGTTGTATTTTTTGTAGAGATGTGGTTTGTCATGTTGCCCAGACTGGTCTTGAACTCCTGGGCTCAGGCAGTCCCCCCATCTCGGCCTCCCAAAGTGCTGGGATTACAGGCGTGAGCCACCGCGCCTGCAGCCAGCCATTTTAATTGCAAGTTGGGAGTGTGCATTTACGTTAATATAGATACGGCTAAACGGACCCCCAAAAAGGCTGGGTCAGTAACACAGCCACCCGCAGGGTACGAAACCACGCGTTGCATCTCGAGCCGACAGGCGGGGTCTTTTTATTCTGTAAAAGTGCCTTTAAAAGCTGTTGGTGAGGCCTAGCATCTTTCTGGATACCGACCGCTGGCTATCTTTTTTCCTGTGAATGGACTGTGCATATCAGCGGAACATTTGTTAGCTTCTTGTAGCAATGAAGCCACGCGTGTGTGTATGTTTCGTCCTTCCTTCCTTTTCCTTTCTTTTTCTTCTCTTTCCTCTCGTTCTTCCCTCTCTGTCAGTTTCCTAAAATCATGGCATGTTTTACTTTCCGTTATATTCAGAACATTTGTTGTACAGCTCTTCGTTTTTCCTGGAGTTTTTTTTTTTTTTTTTTGTCTGCCTTCCAATCCATTTCCTGGGGCTCCTAATGCCTCTTTCTCTTGAGTCCAGCCTCTCTCTAGGATACTGCGTGTCGCACGGAGCCTTTTTCCCGGAGATCTTCCTTGCGAGCCCCCCTCTGTCCCACCCACACCCCGCAGGCTGCTCCGAGCCTCTTCGTGGCTCTCTTCCTTCAGCCCCTTTCCGGGTTCCTGAATTTCCAAGCCAGCTTCTTTCTTGGTTTCTGCTCTTATTTCCTAACAAATGTATATTTGGTAAACTTGCTGAATTCTTCATGTCTACAAATGTCCTGATTCTACGCTTGCACGTGATTGTGACGTGGCTGGGTGTAGCAATCTCAGGTCAAGAGAATTTTCCCTTCTAGAAGCCGAAAGTCACTGCTCTGTCGCCTTCTCACACACAGAGTGGCTGGTGAGAAGCGTGTGGAAAACCCTATTTTTCCTTCTGGCAGCTCTAGGACTTTCCCTTTAAGCCGGGGAGCAACGCAGGGTGGGTTTTCTCTTTGTCACTGTGCCGGGCAATCCGTGAGCACGTCCAGCGGAAAACCTGGGTCCTATCTTGGCTCCTTCAATATTCGTCTTAAACATTTTCTTTTCTCAGGTTTGGTTTTAAAAATGTTTCCTTCTGCTCTCTCTTCATGGAGCTCCGGCCTGGTGGCTTCCTGACCACGTTCCCTTCCTTCTGCTCTCTCTTCATGGAGCTCCGGCCTGGTGGCTTCCTGACCACTTTCCCTTCCTTCTGCTCTCTGTGTTCATGGAGCTCCGGCCTGGTGGCTTCCTGACCACGTTCCCTTCCTTCTGCTCTCCGTGTTCATGGAGCTCCGGCCTGGTGGATTCCTGACCACGTTCCCTTCCTTCTGCTCTGTGTTCATGGAGCTCCGGCCTGGTGGATTCCTGACCACGTTCCCTTCCTTCTGCTCTCTGTGTTCATGGAGCTCCGGCCTGGTGGATTCCTGACCACGTTCCCTTCCTTCTGCTCTCTGTGTTCATGGAGCTCCGGCCTGGTGGATTCCTGACCACGTTCCCTTCCTTCTGCTCTCTCTTCATGGAGCTCCGGCCTGGTGGCTTCCTGACCACGTTCCCTTCCTTCTGCTCTCTCTTCATGGAGCTCCGGCCTGGTGGCTTCCTGACCACGTTCCCTTCCTTCTGCTCTCTCTTCATGGAGCTCCGGCCTGGTGGCTTCCTGACCACTTTCCCTTCCTTCTGCTCTCCGTGTTCATGGAGCTCCGGCCTGGTGGCTTCCTGACCACATTCCCTTCCTTCTGCTCTCTCTTCATGGAGCTCCGGCCTGGTGGCTTCCTGACCACGTTCCCTTCCTTCTGCTCTGTGTTCATGGAGCTCCGGCCTGGTGGATTCCTGACCACGTTCCCTTCCTTCTGCTCTCTCTTCATGGAGCTCCGGCCTCGTGGATTCCTGACCACGTTCCCTTCCTTCTGCTCTGTGTTCATGGAGCTCCGGCCTGGTGGATTCCTGACCACGTTCCCTTCCTTCTGCTCTCTCTTCATGGAGCTCCGGCCTGGTGGCTTCCTGACCACGTTCCCTTCCTTCTGCTCTGTGTTCATGGAGCTCCAGCCTGGTGGATTCCTGACCACGTTCCCTTCCTTCTGCTCTCTCTTCATGGAGCTCCGGCCTGGTGGCTTCCTGACCATGTTCCCTTCCTTCTGCTCTCTCTTCATGGAGCTCCGGCCTGGTGGCTTCCTGACCACGTTCCCTTCCTTCTGCTCTCTCTTCATGGAGCGCTGGCCTGGTGGCTTCCTGACCATGTTCCCTTCCTTCTGCTCTCCGTGTTCATGGAGCTCCGGCCTGGTGGCTTCCAGACCACATTCCCTTCCTTCTGCTCTCTCTTCATGGAGCTCCGGCCTCGTGGCTTGCTGACCACGTTCCCTTCCTTCTGCTCTCTCTTCATGGAGCTCCGGCCTCGTGGCTTGCTGACCACGTTCCCTTCCTTCTGCTCTCTCTTCATGGAGCTCCGGCCTCGTGGCTTGCTGACCACGTTCCCTTCCTTCTGCTCTCTCTTCATGGAGCTCCGGCCTCGTGGCTTGCTGACCACATTCCCACCTGTGTCTCCTGCACCTCCTGTCTCTGTGTCTCCTCCTGCAGCATTTGGGGAGATTTCCTTCTCTCTGCCTTTTTCTCCATCCATTGATTTTTTTTAAAATTTAACAATTAAAGTATTAATTTCTAAGATTTATTTTGTTCCCTGTTTTTTAGTCACAGCCTCCCTTTCATGTTTTTCTTTTCCTGTTTTTGTTTTTGAGACAGAGTCTTGCTCTGTTGCCCAGGCTGGAGCGCAGTGGCTCAATATCAGCTCACTGCAACCTCCGCCTTCTGGGTTCAAGCGATTCTCCTGCCTCAGCCTCCTGAGTAGCTGGGACTACAGGCACCTGCCACAATGCCCAGCTAATTTCTGTAGGTTTAGTGCAGGTTGGGTTTCACCATGTTCGTCAGAAACTCCTGACCTTGTGATCTGCCCACCTTGGGCTGGGATTACAGGCGTGAGCCACTGTGCCTGGCCTTCGTGTTTTTATTTTCTCGAGGATGTCAATTAGGTTTTCCTTCTCCCTAACTTCTCATCTGTTCCCGAATGATCTCACCTTTCCTAAAGGGTCCGTTTTTAAAAAATCATTACCCTCTCCCTTACACAGCTGGTTTCCCTCTTGGGAGTAAACCTTTGTGGGTATTCACTCATATTAAAGACTAAAGAACTGAATTGGTTTTTCTTGATGGGTGAGATGGGTCTTTATAATAATAGCTACTCGCACATTCTACCCTAGGTTCTAGCTATGTTCATTGACACATTTAATGTGCACACTAGCCCTCCAGGGCAGAGCTTCTCTCATTGCCATTTTACAGATTAGATGACTGAGGACCAGAGTGGTTAAGAAACTATCACCAGGTCACACAGCCAGTGGGTGGTGGAACAGTCAAAAACCACAAAGTCTGACTGGAGCTGTAGAACACAGAGGCGTCTCTTGGAAAACAGAGGTGAAAAATGTATCTGGTTTCCAGTGCTACGCTAGAGGCAAATTTTCTTTCTGACAATCTGTTCCTTTATGGTTCTGTTTTTTCATGCCACTCCTCAAGATTAATAAGTACATTCAACTGTGGGCCGGGTGCAGTGGCTCATGGCTGTAATCCCAGCACTTTGGGAGGCTGAGGCAGGCAGATCACCTGAGGTCAGGAGTTCAAGACCAGACTGGCCAACATGAAGAAACCCCGTCTGTACCAAAAATACAAAAATTAGCCAGCATGTTGGCGTGAACCTGTAGTCCCTGCTACTCAGGAGGCTGAGGCACAAGAATCATTTGAACCCAGGAGGCAGAGGTTGCAGTGAACTGAAACTGCACCATTGTACTCCAGCCTGGGTGACAGAGCGAGACTCCATCTCAAACACACACACACGCACACACACACACACACACACACACACACGTGTGTGTATATATATATATTTATTTATTTATTTGTGATTTCCTTTAGATGTTTATGATTTCAAAATATTAAACATTTGGCCGAGTGCAGTGGCTCACGCCTGTGATCCCAGCACTTTGGAAGGCCAAGGCAGGAGGATTACCTGAGGCCAGGAGTTCAAGACCAGCCTGGGCAATGTAGTGAGACCCTCCTTCCTGCCCCTGCACAACACTACAGAAAATAGAAAATCAGTTGTGTGTGGTGTGGGCCTGTAGTGCCAGCTACTCAGGAGGCTGAGGTGGGAGGATCGCTAGGGCTGGGAGGTCGAGGCTGCAGTGAGCCATCGTCTCCCCAGTGCACTCCAGCCTGAGCGACACAGATCCTGTCTCAAAAACCAAAACTAAAAACAAAATTAAACATTCAAATCCCTGATTTTTTTTTTCCGCACAGGCAGAGGAGGGAAGCCTGTTTGATTTCCCAACGGCAGCCAGTCGTGCAGTCCCTAAACCACGATTGACTAACCATCCCCACCACCACTCTTAACGTGAAATGCCTTCTTTGCCACACACCGAATTCCACTCTTCACTTGCCTATTTTTGTCTTTTCATGGATTCTGACATTCCAGGGGCAGCCCCTACCGTGTTGGGTACGGTCCTTTATGCCTCAGTGTTGCGTGGGGCTAGCTGCTGTCCATCACTCTTCTTTTCTACTTTTTTAATGGTTATTCACGTTTATTCTTTCAGATGAATGTCGGAATCACTTTGTCAAACTACCTCAAAATCCTGTGGGACTTAAGATTGTATCAGTAAAATGATACATTATTTCCAGGAGAATCACCTTAAGGAGCTTAGTGGCTTCAAAAGTACAAACTAGGCCGGGCGCAGTGGCTCAAGCCTGTAATCCCAGCACTTTGGGAGGCCGAGGCAGGTGGATCACGAGGTCAAGAGATCGAGACCATCCTGGTCAACATGGTAAAACCCCGTCTCTACTAAAAATACAAAAATTAGCTGGGCACGGTGGTGCGTGCCTGTAATCCCAGCTACTCAGGAGGCTGAGGCAGGAGAATTGCCTGAACTCAGGAGGCGGAGGTTGCGGTGAGCCGAGATCGCGCCATTGCACTCCAGCCTGGGTAACAAGAGCGAAACTCCGTCTCAAAAAAAAAAAAAAAAAAAAAAAAAAAAAAAAAAAAAAGTACAAACTGTTCTCTCCCAGTTCTGCAGGCCACAAGTCCCAGCCGAGTCCTGCCACGTGAAAACCAAGGAGTTGGCAGGGCCGGGCCGCTCTGGAGGCTCCAGGGGAGAATTCATTTTTCAGCTTCCCCTTGGTGCCCAGCTGCTCCTCCCTCGGCGGAGCTCACAGCGTGGGCTGAGTCCTTCTGAGTCAGGACAGCTCCCAGCTGCCCCCTGTCCCCATGTAGGGACCCTTGTGATTATACCGGGAAAACCCAGATAACCCAAGATAATCTCCCCGTCTTAAACTCAGCTGATTAGCAGCCTTAATACGGTCTGCTGTGTGACATAACATTCCTTTGCCAGGTGAGAGTGCAGTCAGGGCTCCAAGAAAGAGCACGTGGACATCTTCGGGGCCTATCACTGCCTATAAATACATCCTGCGTTTTCTTTTCTTTTTTGGACGCAGTTGTGCTCTGTCACCAGGCTGGAGTGCAGTGGCACAATCTCGGCTCACTGCAACCTCCGCCTCCCGGGTTCAAGCAATTCTCCTGCCTCAGCCTCCCGAGTAGCTGGGATTACATGCGCCTGCCACCACGCCTGGCTAATTTTGTATTTAGTAGAGACAGGGTTTCACCATGTTGGTCAGGCTGGTCTTGAGCTGCTGACCTCTTGATTCCCCTGCCCTGGCTCCCAAAGTGCTGGGATTATAGGCATGAGCCACCATGCCTGGCCTCTTTTTTTTCGAGACAGAGTCTCGCGTCGTCGCCCAGGCTGGAGTGCAGTGGCACAATCTCGGCTCACCGCAACCTCCGCCTCCTGGGTTCAGGCAATTCTCCTGCCTCAGCCTCCCGAGTAGCTGGGATTACAGGCACGCGCCACCACGCCCAGCTAATTTTTTGTATTTTTAGTAGACACGGGGTTTCACCGTGTTGGTCAGTCTGGTCTTGAACTCCCGACCTCAGGTGATCTGCCCACCTAGACTCCCAAAGTGCTGGGATTACAGGTGTGAGCCACCGCACCCGTCTAAAATATATATTTCTTTTTAAATAGAGACAGGGTTTCACCATGTTGGTCAGGGTGGTCTCTATCTCTTGACTTGGTGATCTTCCCGCCTCAGCCTCCCAAAGTGCTGGGATTACAGGCGTGAGCCACCGTGCCCGGCTGCCACTGATGCTTCTCATGCCACATTTCCCTGTGGCTTGGTTTTCCAAATATATAATCACATTTTTAAAAATAGTAATTTTTGTCCTTTGCAAATGTATTCTATTTATACTTTGTATTTCTCTTGCTTATTTGCAAGGAATCCCAGAACCGCGTTAGAAACTAGTTGTCAGGAACTACCGGAGGAATGCTTGTGGAATTTCACCAGTGACCATGAGCCTGACTTTTTGGTTTAAAGGAGTTCACATTTTCTTGTATTATGGAAAGCAGATGATTTTTAAACACAGAATAACCCAGTGTGCTGTTTCCACGGGGAGAAACCGAGGCCACTCCTAAGAGACACCGTCGGGAGCCTGCGTGTGGCCTGTGTGTGCGCCACGTGTGGGGTGCGGTCCCTCTGGGTGTGAGCGCCTGTGCCCCGCTCACCTGCAGGGCCTGCCCGCCTGTTCTGTTTCTTTCCTCCCGCCTCTGTCCTTGCTGCTCCCACCCTGTCAGAGGCAGGACGCTGCCCGAAGTGCCCCAGACCTCCCTTCCCCCCACAGGATCAACGGCCACCCGGGGAAGTCCACGCGCCTGGCGGGCCTGTGGAAGCTGGAAGAGGTCAGTCACCCCCAGGCTTCACGCCCTGCCCAAGCCACGCTGCTCCCCTGACCCTCCGGCAGGGCCCCTCCCTGACCTCTCGCGTCTGACCCCGCAGTGCCACGCCAGCGGCTGCATGATGGACCTGTTCGTGCAGATGGCCATCATCATGGGCCTAAAGCAGACGCTCAGCAACTGCGTGGAGTACCTGGGCCCGTGAGTGCCGCCCCGCCCGGCCCCGGGAGCCCCAGGCCCCTCCACCCTTGCGCCCTCCCCACGATGTCTCGCCCGCAGGTGGCTGGCGCACAAGTGGCGCTCCAAGCAGGCCTCTGCGCCCGCCCGGGACCCCGAGCTCAGGGACTGGCAGCGAAACTACCTTCTGAACCCCGTCAACACCTTCAGCCTGTTCGACGAGTTCATGGAGATGAGTGCGTGGGCGCCGTGGGGCAGGGTCCCCGGGGACGGGTGCGTGGGTGCTGCGGGGCGGGGTCCCCGGGGACGGGTGCGTGGGCGCTGCTGCGGGGCGGGGTCCCCGGGGACGGGTGCGTGGGTGCTGCGGGGTGGGGTCCCCGGGGATGGGTGCGTGGGTGCTGTGGGGTGGGGTCCCCAGGGATGGGTGCGTGGGCGCTGCTGCGGGGTGGGGTCCCCGGGGACGGGTGCGTGGGTGCTGCGGGGCGGGGTCCCCGGAGATGATCGCAGGGCGCCCGCAAGCTTGACCCCCACCCCGCAGTGATCCAGTATGGCTTCACCACCATCTTCGTGGCCGCCTTCCCGCTGGCGCCGCTGCTCGCGCTCTTAAGCAACCTCGTGGAGATCCGCCTGGACGCCATCAAGATGGTCCGGCTGCAGCGGCGCCTGGTGCCCCGCAAAGCCAAGGACATCGGTCAGGCCCGACGGGCGCAGGATGGGCGGGAACCGACGCTGAGTTCAGCCTGTGGGCTTCCCTCTGGCCACCGGGATCTCCGTGAAATCATCTTTCCGATCTCACCCCGCAGACAGACCCAGCCCTTCCTCAGAAGCCTTGGATGCGGGTTGAGCCTGGGTGGGAGGGTCCCAGGAGTGGGCAGGGCTGGGCGCTTTGTAGACCCCTCCCACAACCCGTCAGGATCTCAGAGGGGCTTGATGCCCCCAAGGGGGACCCAGATGCTGCCAGTGGCTGGAGAAGGAACAGAGCAGCTGGCCTGTGTCCCAAGATGGGCCACACTGAGAGGGCAGCTAGCAGGAGAGTGACCGGGGCTGTGGCGCGCTGGACGTGGGGAATGGGGGAGGGGTGTTGGGGAGGCCCCCAGTCTTGAGCCCAGGTTAGGAGGTCCTGCCCTGGGGTGGGAACCCAGGAGGTGGAGGGGGTTGGGGGCAGCTGAGAAGTTCAGGAAGGTGGGGGGGGTGAGGATTCCTGGGTCCCTCACCGTCCACCTCAGCGTGAGGGCACAGGAGAGCTGAGGCCATGCTCTGTGGGGCCGGGGACTTCCTAGTGAATTCTGTGGCCCTGGAGCTGCAATGGGACGCCATGCATAGAGACGTGGAGGGCCCCTTGTGGGCAGGTGGGGGCAGAGCCAGCCGGGGGAGGCCGGAGGAGTCCAACCGCTTGCTGGCTGCTCTGTGCAGGGACCTGGCTCCAGGTGCTGGAGACCATCGGCGTGCTGGCGGTCATTGCCAACGGGATGGTCATCGCCTTCACATCTGAGTTCATCCCTCGCGTGGTCTACAAGTACCGCTACAGCCCGTGCCTGAAAGAAGCCAACTCTACAGTCGAGTGAGGCCTCCAAGTGTCTGGAGACCCCTGGGAGAAACATCCTGCCACAGCCAAGCCCGGGGGGATGGGGGGGACCCAGACTCTCTCTCCTGGAAATGGCTGGATCTGCCGGTAGCTCCTGGGACTTTAGTGAGGCTGGGGCTGGGGGTGGCCTGCAGGCCCTGGGCTGGTCAGGAGTAACTGACCAGGACTGCAGTGGGGGGTGAAGTTCCCAGACTCGGCCCCTCCCGATGCGGGGCCTGCGTGTCCTCTTCTGACTTATCCAGCTCCTCTGACATTAAGGAGCCACCAGACCGCCGACTGGGTCCCCAGGGTCAGTCCTTGGCAGGGAAGGCGGCTGGTGATGTCCAGAGTCCCCACAGGCCCCCGAGCCCCCTGGATGTGAAGATGTGCTTGGCCCTGGGGCCCGTCCCACTGGTGGCTGTCTGTGGTGTGGCCTCCATAACGCAGGCTAGAAGCACCCTGGGGCCTGAAGGGGCCTCCTGGAAGCCCACCCCCTCCCACACTCCTCTCCCCTCTCCCCAGCTGCCTCACGGGCTACGTCAACCACAGCCTGTCCGTCTTCTACACCAAGGACTTCCAGAAGCCTGATGGGATTGAGGGCTCAGAAAATGTGACTCACTGCAGGTCTGGAACTCCCCTTCCCCCACGAATGCCCTCTGAACTCCTGAACCCTGACCTCAGGCACCCCCTTTCCCAGGTACAGGGACTACCGTCATCCCCACCATTACACCCTCACCAAGAAGTTCTGGTTCCTCCTGGCCATCCGCCTGGCCTTCGTCATCCTCTTTGAGGTAGGCCAGAACCGGGAGAGGCCTCGGAGTGGGTTGGGGCAGTTCTCTCTCCACCCCTCCTCCCTGGCCCTGAGCGCCCAGATCCCTGCTGGCGCCTGATGGTGCTGGGCCTCTCCTATGATGCTCCCAGCACGTGGCCTTGTGCATCAAGCTCATTGCTGCCTGGTTCGTGCCTGACGTCCCGCAGTCGGTGAAGAACAGCATTCTGGAGAAAAAGTATGAGAAGATGAAGGAAAGGCAGCCCCCGACGCCCACCCATCCCACCTCAGCCTCCATCTTCAGCGCCAGGAGCACAGACGTGTAGGGCCAGAGCCTGTCCAGAGGCCCTGGCCCCCAGGAGCTGAGACAGTGCCAGTGCCTCCCACCCGGCCTCCGCTGTGCATGTGGAGGGAGAGTGCTGTAAGAAGGCTGTGCGCATGGGGGCTGCAGGAGTTCCTGTATGTTCGGGGCATCTGTGAGCCGCCGGCTTGTTCTGCCTGCTCCGTCTCTGGGGGGGCTCTCAAGCTTGGTACATCCTGGATTGAACTCTGGATGACCCTGGGCACCCACAGAACTGGGAGAGGGACTTCTCAGGCAGCCACAAGGCAGGAGAACTGGCCCAAGTTTCCTGGGCCCCAGATTCTGCCGTGCCCCCATTCTGGGTGTTGGGAGGTGGCCGGAGCCCACCTGGCCGGCCTGTTCCCTTTGGCCAGCAGGAGTTTCTGTAATAAAATTAAACCTGTTTGTCTTGCTTTCTTGGCCTTGCTGGGGGGGGGGGGGGGCGGGGGGGATTATATCTGCTCTCAGGGATAGATGGGAAACTGAGGCACAGAGTGTGGAAGGTCTGGAAGCAGGTGAGGAGCAGCCTCAGGCCCTGGCCCTTCTCCAGTAGGGAGGGACGCCTATGGGGGTCCTCTTGTCCCTGCACCTGGGGTGCTAAGGGTGACAAGAGAAGACTTGGGGGTGGGGTGGGGGTCAGGACAGGCTTCCTGGAGGAAAGGAAAGAAGTAGGGGAGTACGCTCGGAAAGGTCCCCAAGGCTCTGGGGCTCCGCGCACTGGTCGGGCTGTTTTGAACACTGGTTCCAGGCCCAGCGGCCGTGGCTCCCCAGCAGCGGTACCGCCTCCAGAGCGTCCCAGCAGAGCGGGACGCTTGGGTCCGCCCCCGCCCTGACTGCGGGGCGGGGCCGCACCTGCTGCCGCCGCCGGGGCCGTCACCGCTGCGCACCTGGCTCAGGTGAGCTGCTCCGCCCCCGCCCCGCGCGATCCCCAAGTTCCGGCAGCAGGTGAGTGGCGGTGCGATCGGACCCGCGAAGGTGAGTGGAGGCCGCTGTCCTCCCAGGGCCGCTCCAGGCCTGGAGTCGGGGCCCACGGCGCTGCTTGTTTCTGGGCGCCGTCTCTCAGGAAGCGGCTCGGAGCCAGGGAGGCTCCCGCGTCGCCCGCGTCCTGGTCCCTTCCAGGCCTGGGGAAAGGAGGGACAGTGGGCGAAGGGGGCTGGGGAGCCCTTTCCTCTGCCCGACCCCCGCGCAGGAGGAGAGAGAGGGCCGAGGCGCGCGGGGATCCCACCTCCGTCCCCCAAGCCTGGATCCCTGCTCGAGACGTCCTAAGGCGCCGAGGGCGACCAAGAGTCAGGCTGGGGCCGGAGCTCGCCGGGTGCCGGGTGGAGCTTCCGCCATCCGCGCGCCTGTGCCCGGGAGAGCGCCCCGAGCCGCCCCAGTGCGTGTCCCGGTCCCTCCACTCTCTGCACCTGAAGGGCGCCGGGAAGGGGAGGAGATGCGGCCCTCGACCTGCCGGGCCGCAGCCTCTTGCGCACGTTCCCGCTTCAGGGCAGGCGTGGGGGGCCCAGCGCGCGCGGGGAGCACAGCGGCGGCGCGTCCTAGTTGCGCTGGAGTCGCCCTCAAGCTGCAGGGCGCTGCGCGCACCGAGGGCGTTGGTTGGGTCTGAGGGCGGGAGGAGCTGACGCTTTCTAAGAACCTCAGGGTGCCCGGCAGAGCGTGGTGGGCAGTGCGAGGCCGCCAGGGCCAGGCTGGGACTGAGATTCCCAGCCCAATGCGGCTGAGGGCAGGGCCAGGGCCAAAGGAGACTCCTGTCTGATTCTGTGGGCAGTACCAGCCACCAGTCACTGGGTCCTGAGTCCCAGGTCAGCCTGGTGGGCGTCCGTGTGGTGACAACGGGGAGAGACCGTCTGCCCCCCATCTGCTCTGAGCCAGGAGCCTCGGCCAGCTGTGTTTGCTCCTTATCTGTCCTCCCACCCCAGCCTGAAGGGAAGGTCCACAAGATGCCATAGCAACTGCTAACCCACTGGGGGCCCCTGCCTGTGACAGGGACAGGGAGAGGGCCAAGGAGCCCTGCTGGAGCACCATGGTTGGCTTGGAGTTCCGGAAGGCCCTGTCCCCTGGGGTCAGAGGTCAGAGACGCATGGGGGAGCAAACTAGCTGGCCCCTTGGCTCCTGAGTGTGAACCCCAGTGCCGACTGGGAGGCAGACTGCAGACCGCACAGCCCTGTCCTCCCTGCGTACACGCATGATGGCCCTGGCTGGGGTCTCTGTGCCAGGAGGACGCCCCACCCATTATCCCTGGAACCTGCCCCTTTGAGCACCCTCCCAGCCCCCAACACACACACACACACACACACACACACCACAGAGGAAAGTGCTGTGCCTGGGTGGGTTGGGGCGGGCCCCAAAGGAAGGAGCCGCTTGACTCAGAGCTACAGGAAGAGCTGGGGCAGGCGGGGCAAGAACCACCACTGCCCGCCGGCCCGCCTAGGGAAGGGGTGGGTGCCTGGGTGGGGTTTAGGTTTAGGAGAGGATGTGACTGCAACGCCAGGAAGCTACAGGCAAAGTTCTGATGAAAATACATATAAACACACACCAGGTCCTCACGGTGCTCGGCGATGCATCCGGGGCAGCCTGGGTGCTGTGGACACTCCCTGGGGCCCAGCGGAGGGGACAGTTCGCTCCCAAAGGCACATCCATGACCAACATTCCCCCACCCCCGGAGGGAAGAACTGGAAGCAGGTGACTGTGCCTTCCCTGCTGCTCTGAGTGAGCCTGTGGCAGGGCCTGTCCTTAGAACCGGGCCTGCTGAGGGGAGGCTGGCGGTGCACAAGGCCATGTGCATGTGCATGTGAGAGAGAGTGAGGGGCAGCAGGAAGCTATGAGTGTGGCACTGGTGGCCAAGGGTGGGTGTGAGGTGCAGTGTGTGTGTCATGGGGTGCTTGTGGCCCTGGGCTCTGTGACAAGTGTTGCGATGGGTGTCGTAGATACTCAGAGGGTGTGCAAGTTGTGTGTAGCCTGAGCTGTGTGCAGAGGTAATGGGAGGTATGTGTGGTAGGAAGTGTGCCCATGTAGGAGGTGCAAGCGTCCACAGGCTGAGACTGAAGCTCAGTGCAGGTGTGCATGGGCCAGAGGGCTGTGCAGGGGAGGGGATGCAGGGGAGGGGGTGCAGGGGAGGGGGTGCAGGGGAGAGGCCGCAGGGGAGGCTATGCAGGGGAGGGAGTGCAGGGGAGGGGGTGCAGGGGAGAGGCCGCAGGGGAGGCTATGCAGGGGAGGGAGTGCCGGGGAGGGCAACTGCTTTCTCGCTGTGCTCATATCTTGGCAGTCTGCCCTTGACTTCCAGAAGGTTCTGAGGCTGCTTTTGGAGGGAGGGGTTTGAGGTCTGAGCTTGGGGCAGTCAGGGGTCTGCTGGGCTGGGATGTGTCCTCCTGGGCTGGCTGTTGGTTGCATGAGGAAGTGTGGGTTTTATGGCCCCTCCATGGGTGGTTCCCATGGGTCAAGGACTTTCCTTGGGCTGTCCTCCACCGCAAAGGCACCCCCTTGCCATCCCCCATGGGAGTGCGCCTCATGCTGTATCGGTTCCCGAGGAAATGCCAAACAGCCAAACCTGGGCCTCTGGCTGTGCTTCGCCCAGGCAGAGGAACAGGTGGGAGTCTGAGAGGGTTGTCCCTGCCACAGCCTCTGGGGCCTTTGGTGTGGAGTCCCACAGAAGCTGGGGTGCGGAACCTTAGGCTTGATCCCTCATCCCCACCCCATGTCCCTGCCACAGGGAGGGGAGCAGACAGTCAGTTGGATAAACGGGGTGACGCTGTGGCACCCAGTGAGGAGGGGCCCCCAGGATGCCAAGGAAGAGGCTCCGGGCTCCTCCCTGCAGCCACCTCACTGAGGAGCTCTGGGAGACGTGAGGTGTGTGTGGCTGCGGCCATGGGCTGGGAGAGGGTCAGGATCCGGGACCAGGGACCAGGAAGAAGGGGTTCCTGTGAGCCCCTTAGAGCTCCCTCATCCCAGCCTGGCCCCATTCAGTCTCCTGCCTCACAACCTCAGGGTGAGGTTAAGCTTAGGGTTCCCAAGGTGTGAGGTGTCTGTGCTCAGGTGTACTACTGACTGCATTGAGGTGTAGCCCAGGGTCTCAGCTGGGCGCCCACTCCATGGCACAGGGCATATCACACCCCTGCCCAAGGCCAGGCTGTGTCACTGGCACAGCAGCACGCCCCTGCAGTGGCAGCCCGGTTGAAGGGGACAGCCAGGGGTGAGGCTAGCTGCCATCTTGGGAGACAGGGTCCCACCTGGGGTATGTCCACTGTACCCCAGGTCATCATGGTGGCCCCGGGCCAGTGGAGGTGGTCCTGGACTTGAGGGTCCCTCCCTGTTGCCCTGGGCTGTGTGAGGTGGTGCCCATTCTGGCCATGTGTGAGGGGCTGGAAGAGACGCCCTGCTGGCCTCTGGGAGCTCTGCCAGCATCCACGAGGCTGCTCTGGGTGGCATCTGGTCAGGCCCAGTGCCGTCTGCGGCCGGCAGTTACTGGTTAACTCACCCTGTTCCTGTTTAACTTGCTCCCTGGGGATGGCGGCAGCCTCTGACCCATCCAGGTGCCCTGTCCAGCTGACTGCAAGCAGAGAGGAATCCTGCCCAGCTCTTGGATTAGGCTGCTTGGCTGAGGAGCCCTGTGGAGCTGGGGGTGGCCCCGGAGCTCAGCCTGCCCCGAGGAGGCCCTGGCTCAGAGCCATGCCAGGTAGGCTGGTCAGAGAGGGATGGGCGAGAGTCACCAGTCCCATCTCCTGCCCCTCGGGCTGACCCATATCATGCATCCTGCTCTCATCCCAGGCTCTCTGCTTGGCCACATGCCGGGGGTACAAAGGCCCTGTTCACCCCTCCCACTGGGCCCTTGGCCCTGAAACCAGGGTGGGGGTGAGGATGGGTGTCTTGCACCCTCCCCTGCACCAGGCCTCCACTCCAGGCCATGAGAGTCAGTACGGCCCAAGAACAGAGGAGTGGGCACTTCGGGGACCATGCGGGGCTGTGGTAGATGTGGGCTGGTAGGAGACCACACCCGACCGAGGAGATGCTGGTCTGGCCTTCTACTAGGGCTGATCACCCTGATGTAAAGGTGAGAAAGTCCAGGCCTCAGGTGGTGAGGAGGGTTTGCCTGTGGCCAGGAGCAGAGGGCTCCAAGACCCCTGGGCCAGGGATAAGCCAAGGCCAGCTGCTACTGGCTCCCAGCTCTGCCCATCCAGTGGAAGGTGCTGGCACACTGGGCATCTGGGTTCCCAAACCCACCGGTGCCCATACTCCCTGCAGATACCCCAGCAGAGGCAGGCTGCACTGAGGGGGTGCAGTGCCCAGCCCCTCCTCTGAGACGGGCATCACGGTGTCACCAGGGATTGGCACCAGGCATATCCAGGAAATGGGGGGATAGACTCATGTTCTGGGTGGACAAGCAGCCAGATGAGGCTCGTGCGTGGGCCTGAGGCAGCTCAATTGTCACTGGCCACTGCTCTCTGTCCCCTTAGCACAGGGCAGGCGGAACACACAAAGCCCGGCCACTTCTGAGGGAAGATGTGCCAAGTGCCAAGCCCGTCCCCATGGGACTCATGGGCAGACACGGTGTGACCACCAACACCACATGGAGGCCTTGATTCTTCCTGCGCCATGGGCCCCTGTGGAGGTGGCGGGGCCGGGCACTCTGGCACAGCTGACCCACTGTGTCCTCTCTCTTCAGGTGTCTGCAACAGGGCCCCTGACTTCCTCTCCCCGGCTGAAGACCAGGCGCTGGGGCCTGCCTTGGGCAGCTCAGTCGCTCTGAACTGCACAGCTTGGGTAGTCTCTGGGCCCCACTGCTCCCTGCCTTCAGTCCAGTGGCTGAAAGACGGGCTTCCACTGGGAAATGGGGACCACTACAGCCTCCACGAGCACTCCTGGTAAGAGGCCTGGGTTTCCAGGGTCAGAGTGACCCCTCAGACATGCCAAGGCCAGTGGTCTCCCTGAACTATGCCAGGGTCCAGAACCACCTGGCAAGACATGATGTGAGCAGAGTGCCTCTGTGGCCCCAGAGGGTCAGTGATGTCAGGGACAGAGCTGGGGTCTGCATGGCCCCTGTAGACACACACCTTGTACACTGCCCAGGGCTCTGGGTGTCAGCAAGGTCTAGGGCCTGAATGAACGCCAACCATCTGGCCAAGCCTGCCATCAGAGGACCTCCAGGCCCCACACCCAGGACTGGGACGGCTGTTCTGAAACAAATCTGCACCCCCTCCAGGTTTTGGTCACTTCTCTTGGCTTGAGGCCCAATTCTACAGCCTCCCTGGGCGAACCCAGACAGGTAGGGTTCTGGGGTGTCCACTGGTATCCCCAGTGGACCCTGACCCTGGCTTGGTGTCCCCAGGTTCAAGGCCAACTTGTCAGAGAGGTTTGTGTCCAGTGTCCTGGGGGTCAACGTGACCAGCTCTGAGGACTATGGAGCCTTCACCTGTTCCATCCAGAACGTCAGCTCCTTCTCCTTCACTCTTCAGAGAGCTGGTGATGGGGGTTCCCCGAGTAGTGGGTAGGAGGGGACTCAAGGCTTGGAAGCTCCTGGAGGGGCGCTGGCTCAGGCAACCCATCCGCAGGCCTTGCAAGCCACGTGGCTGCGGTGCTGGCCTCCCTCCTGGTCCTGCTGGCCCTGCTGCTGGCCGCCGTGCTCTACGTCAAGTGCCGTCTCAACGTGCTGCTCTGGTACCAGGACGCGTACGGGGAGGTGGAGATGAACGGTGCGTGGGGCCCGCGTGGGCGCAAGGAGGGGTCGCCGCGGCCTCCCTGAGGCTGCGCCGCTGAGCTCCGCTCTGGAGGCGTGGGGCGGGGAGACATCGGCCTCCGGGACTCTGTGCTGGGGTTAAAGTCCGGGAGGGCTGGCGTGAGGCCACCGGGATGACTGGCCGCCGTCCGCAGACGGGAAGCTCTACGATGCCTACGTCTCCTATAGCGACTGCCTGGAGGACCGCAAGTTCGTGAACTTCATCCTGAAGCCGCAGCTGGAGCGGCGTCGGGGCTACAAGCTCTTCCTAGATGACCGCGACCTCCTGCCGCGCGCCGGTATCCCGGGCCTCGCCCCCACCACAGGCCCCACCCCACCCTCCCGCGCCCGTCCCCGTCCCACCGGAGACCCCGCCCCACCCTGGAGCTCCGCCCACACTTTCCCCGCCCCCTTAGTACCGCAACCTGCACTGTCCCATCGGAGGCCCCGCTCCACCCTGGAGCTCCGCCCACACTTTCCCCGCCCTCTTAGTACCGCAACCGGCACTGTCCCATCGGAGGCCCCGCCCCACCCTGGAGCTCCGCCCACCCAAGGCTCCGCCCCCTTAGTTCCCGTGCCCGCCTCGTCCCACCGGAGACCCCGCCCCCACCCTGGAGCTCCGCCCACCAGGCCCCGGCCCCTTAGTTCCCGCGTCCGGCCCACCGGAGACCCCGCCCCCACCCTGGAGCTCCGCCCACCCCAGGCCCCGGCCCCTTAGTTCCCGCGTCCGGCCCACCGGAGACCCCGCCCCCACCCTGGAGCTCTGCCCACACCAGGCCCCGCCCCTTAGCCCCGCGCCTCCGACGCCCGCCCTCCGGCAGAGCCGTCCGCTGACCTCCTGGTGAACCTGAGCCGCTGCCGGCGCCTCATCGTGGTGCTCTCGGACGCCTTCCTGAGCCGGGCCTGGTGCAACCACAGCTTCCGGTGGGTCCCGCGCGGTGTGGGTAGGCCCCGGCTTGGCGCCTCCCCTGACGGTCCTGCCCCGCAGGGAAGGCCTGTGCCGGCTGCTGGAGCTCACCCGCAGACCCATCTTCATCACCTTCGAGGCCCAGAGGCGCGACCCCGCGCACCCCGCGCTCCGCCTGCTGCGCCAGCACCGCCACCTGGTGACCTTGCTGCTCTGGAGGCCGGGCTCCGCGGTGCGCTGGGGCGTGGGAGGGGTCGGGGCGCGTGGCTCCGCGGTGCGCTGGGGCGTGGGAGGGGTCGGGGCGCGCGGCTCCGCGGTGCGCTGGGGCGTGGGAGGGGTTGGGGCGCGCGGCTCCGCGGTGCGCTGGGGCGTGGGAGGGGTCGGGGCGCGCGGCGCGTTGGAGACGGGTGGCGTCCGTGCTGCTGACGGAGAGCTCTAGGCACCTCGCTTTGTGAATGGGCCCTGGGGGAAGGTTCTGCTGTCGGGGACCGGATGTGGGGAGCTGCCCTGGAGGCCCTGGAGCCGCGGAATAGCTGCTGCAGCCGCAGGGCTCTCACCGGGGGCTGACGATGTGCGCGCCCTCCCACGTGTTCACACCTGCAAACCGCCCCAACCTGGCCCCCAGACTCCTTCCTCCGATTTTTGGAAAGAACTACAGCTGGCGCTGCCGCGGAAGGTTCAGTATAGGCCAGCGGAAGGAGACCCTCAGACGCAGCTGCAGGACGACAAGGACCCCATGCTGATTCTTCAAGGCCGAGTCCCGGAGGCCCGGGCTCTGGAAGACGGCGACCTGGGTATGCCCATCCAGCCCCACTCTGGACCGGAGAAGCTCAGCCCAGGGCGTAACGGGGGCAGGCACGGGGCAGACAGCCTGGAGGGGCCCCGGTGTTGAGGACTCTTCCTGGCACCGTCGGCCCCTGCACAGCCTCTCTGCCCTGGGGGTGCTCGATCCTGGGCCTGCCTGGGAATATCCTGGGCCTCACAGGCCACCACTGCAGGGGCTGAGCTAGGACAGCCCCTAAGTGTGTCTGGGACAAGGCTGTGGGTGGTCACCTCAGGCGTCTCGGTCTTCCCTCCCCAGGTGTCCCGGGGTCGGTCTTTGGAGAGCAATCAGCTCCACCCAGCACTGGTGGCGTCTCGCTGGGAGAGGGCCGGGGCAGCGAAGTGGACGTCTCGGACCTCGGCTCGAGAAACTACAGTGCCCGCACAGACTTTTACTGCCTGGTGTCAGAGGATGACATGTAGCCCCCACTCAGAGTGCAGGATGATAAGGACAGCGGGTGCCAGGGCAGGGGGGTCGTTCCTCTGCTCAGCAGGACCACAACCCCTGTCTGCAGCCCTGGGACCCTCAGGGCAAGGCTGTGTCCCCAGCGCCCCTCCCAGTGCCAGAAAATAAAGTCCTTTTGGATTCTGCCTGGGCCTCAGTCCCCTCCCCTGCAGCAGCAGGAGATTTCGGTTTGGCTTCCCTCTGGGGCTCTCTTGGCCCTCTGCCCCTCCCTCCCTCCCTCCCTCCTCACCCCCCAAATTCCCAAATCTGCCCTCTCCCCATCCCCTTCCTAAGCTCAGGTTTGTCCCTTGCTTACAGTAGCCTCCCTGCCTGGTCCCTGGTTGGGGATGTGACTGTCCCTAGACCCTTCCCAATCCAGGCAGATCCTCGATGGGCAGGCCCCTGGAGACCTCAAGTTCTGAGCTTCACAGACGCTGTTTTAAGAATATCAACAGTAGGCCGCTGTGATGGCTCACACCTGTAATCACAGTACTTTGGGAGGCCGAGAGGGGCAGATTACGAGGTCAGGAGTTCAAGACCAGCCTGGCTAACATAGTGAAACCCATCTCTACTAAAAATACAAAGAATTAGCCAGGTGTGGTGGTGTGTGCCTGTAATCTCAGCTACTTGGGAGTCAGAGGCAGGAGAATTGGATGAACCTGGGAGGCAGAGATTGTAGTGAGCTGAGATTGCACCATTGTACTCCAGCCCACAGGACAGTGGGATACTTTCTCAAAAATAATAATCAACAGTAACTTCAGACTAAATGGCATGGCTCTGGGTGAGATTAAGGGGTCCAGAGCCTGCTGGGCCCCAAACCTCAGGCAGCCAGTGTGAGAGCCCCTGGTCCTGGCAACTCCAGGCCCAGGGTGGGTGGAGAGGGAGTTGGGTTCGTTTGCAGTATGAGTATAGCCTGCGAGGCAGCCCCCCTTCCCCACTCGTCACCCCTCTGCTCTTGAGGCTCCCAGCTCTGCTCCATGTGTGCCTGTGGTCCCCCTGTGTCCACCCTGTCCCCTCTTGGGCCTGAGGTACCAATTGTCCCTCTGCTGGGCTCTCCCTGTCCTGTGTCCTCTGACCTTGGGAGGCTTGTGAGCCCAAGGGGTGGGTGTCCTCAGGGGCAGGGGGGTGCCTTCAGTCCCAGGATCAGCCACCCTGGTCATGCTGCCAGCCACAGGGTCAGGCCAGCCATGGAAGGATGCAGGGCAGTGACTGTTCATGGCCATCTTTATTCCCAGTGCTGGCTATCCCAAGATTCTGCCAGGCCACGGCCAGCCCCACCTCTGTCAGTGTGACTGGGTCACCACCCCACACACCCGAGCAGCCTCAAGCCCTGCCCCACCCCCTGCCCTGCGGAAGCCAAGTCCCCAGTTATAAGCCCCTGTCCCTCCTGGTGGCCCAGGACCCTCAAAGGTGCACACAGGGGTCCCAGCAAGGGGCCCCTTGGTCATCAGCCTTCTCTGCGAGGCTGGGCTGAGTCAGGCAGCCCGGAGCTGAGTCTGTCCCTCGGATGCTGGGTCACATCACCTTCTCCTGCAGGAGGCTTTGCCTATGGGCCCAGGAAGTCCTCCTTTCGAAAGCCCTTCTACAGAGGAGAGGGCACAAAGTCATGTCCTGTCTGCCCGTGCGGCTCTCCGCCCTTTGTCCACCCTGCCTGTCTGCCTGTGCGGCCCTCTGCCCTCTGTCCACCCTGCCTGCCTGTCCGTGCGGCTCTCTGCCCTCTGTCCACCCTGCCTGTCTGCCTGTGCGGCCCTCCGCCCTCTGTCCACCCTGCCTCTGCCCTCTGTCCACCCTGCCTGTCTGCCCCTGTGGCCCTCTGCCCTCTGTCCACCCTGCCTGCTTGTACGTGCGGCTCTCTGCCCTCTGTCCACCCTGCCTGTCTGCCCGTGCGGCCCTCCGCCCTCTGTCCACCCTGCCTGCCTGCCCGTGTGGCCCTCCGCCCTCTGTCCATCCTGCAGTGTGCTGAGTGTGGCCTAGACACTTCCTCTCTGCCTTCCTGGCCTCCATCCACCCACTGGCCTCTTCGCCGACTGCTCCACGTGGGTTCCCTTGACCCTCCCCCGCGTCCCATGCCCCGCGTTCCTGCTGGCCTTGGGCTCAGGGAACCTACCGCCCGGAAGTCTCGGTGGAGCTTGCTGTACTGCCACAGGTTGGCCAGGAGGCTGGAAGCTGCCCGGGAGGACTTCTCACTGTCAGGGCTGAGGGTGGAGGGAAGTCAGGAGGGGACACAGTCAGAAAGCAGGTGGCTGGGAGGGGCCCGGAGAGCCCCCTGGCTGGGCTGCTGCAGGGCAGGGCCAGCCCCCACCTGTCCCGCTTCTTCTTGATGAAGACAAGCTTTCGGAGCCCGTCGAAGTAGAGCAGGTCCCGGGCGGCGATGGGGCTGGCCACCACCAGGTTGTTGAGCACGGCTATGATGTTGACCAGCACCTCGGCGGGCGGAGACTTCTCACCCACGCTGCCCGGTAGCTTCTCGATCAGGTGGCTCACGACCTTGGTGGCTGCGGGAGGTCGGGGGTCCGTCTACTCCCCACTCCAGCCACCCGGGCACTGGGGGTCCCCTGCCTCCCCCAGGGAGCTGCGTGCCTGTCTACTCCCTGTGGAGTGGCCGGGAGCCCCCGTAACGTGTGTGGACACGGCGGGGCGGGAACGGGGCTGCTCGACTCACACATCTCGTCCTTGTTCCGCGCGTTCCGAGACAGGTTTCGGATGAGGCCGGTCAGCGAGCGAAGCTGGTGGTGGTCGGCAGTGCGGACGCGGTCCAGCAGGGGGTTCAGGATCCGCTCCTGCTCCAGTGCCAGGCGGCTCAGCACCCCCGCCCACTGCAGGGAGAGAGGGAGGGAGGGAGGCACGCGCGGTGACCGGAGGCCTCAGACCCTCACCTGGGGGGATACTGCCACCCTGGGGTCCCTGCATCCTCCTGCCACCCCGGGGGGTGGGGGCTCTGCTTCTGCCTTTGCCCCCAGGGACAAAGCCAGGGGCGTCAGCCCAGGCAGGATCAGGTGCCTCCCTTCAAACTCAGGGCAGAACCTAAGTCCTCCCAAGGCCCAAGGCCTGCCCACCGGTCGCTGGCCTCAGATGCTCCGGGGCACCACCTGCCTCCTCCCCTCCCCCTTCCTCTCCTGCCCCTCCCCCCGCAGCATGAACTCCGGGAGCCCCTGGGTCTGGGGGTACGCCCACCCTGCGGTCGCCCGCGGTGATGTTCTGCAGCGCCCCCGCGGCCGCCTCTGTCGTGTGCCGGTTGAGTTCGCAGCGCTGCAGCAGCCGGTTGTACAGCCCCACGATCTGGGGGCTCCACAGCCACTCGAGGCCCTTGGGGTCCTTGGACACTTCCGCGAAGGTGAGCGCGTCGGCTGTGAGAGGCAGCTGCGCGGGGCGGGGCCGGGGTCAGCGGGGCGGGGTCGGACCCACACCCCCCACGCCCCGCCCAGGCCGGTGCCCGCCCACCCCGCACGCCCCGCCCAGGCCGGTGCCCGCCCACCCCACACGCCCCGCCCAGGCTGGAGTCCACGCCCCACCCAGGCCGTTGCCCGCACACCCCACGCCCCACCCAGGCCTGTGCCCATCGACTCCCCACGGCCCGCCCAGGCCGGTGCCCGCCCCTCCCCACGCCCCGCCCAGGCCGGTGCCCGCCCCTCCCCACGCCCCGCCCAGGCTGGTGCCTGCCCCTCCCCACGCCCCGCCCAGGCTGGTGCCCGCCCCTCCCCACGCCCCGCCCAGGCCGGTGCCCGCCCACCCCACACGCCCCGCCCAGGCTGGTGTCCGCGCCCCACCCAGGCCGTTGCCCGCACACCCCACACCCCACCCAGGCCTGTGCCCACCGACTCCCCACGCCCAGCCCAGGCCGGTGCCCGCCCACCCCGCACGCCCCGCCCAGGCCTGTGCCCACCGACTCCCCACGCCCAGCCCAGGCCGGTGCCCGCCCACCCCGCACGCCCCGCCCAGGCCGGTGCCCACCTCGCGCAGCCGCCGGCTCTGCGGCGTGAAGCAGCCCACCATCTCGCCCGGCGGCGCCCCGGCCAGGTCCCTGCGGCCGCGGCCCTCCAGCCGCTGCAGCGCAGAAGGCGGCATCTCGTCGTACAGGCGGTAGGACAGGTTCCGCAGCACGCACACCGCGTTCTCCACGCTCTGCGGGCAGGGGCGCGGGTCAGGGCGGCGGCGTCGAGGGCCACGGGCCCCCCTCCGCAGCGCGGACCTCACCTTGTCCTCGCACTTGCCCACGTCCAGGGCGTGGTTGATGTAGGTGACCAGGGCGTCCACCAGTCCGTGGCACTCCCGCATTTTCTGGCGAGTGGCCTGAGAGGCTGAGCTGAGGTTCCTGGGGACGGAGGCAGATCAGAGCCCCCCAGGGACCCCCAGGCCCAGACCCTGCTTTGGGCAGAGGCCCTGAGCACGATGCCGTCCCACCCTGGGCCCTGCTCGCCCCACCCCCAGTGCGCCCCTTGCAGTGTGTGGGGCTGTGGGCGCCGGGCCAGGCGGGGTCCCTGACAACACGTGCCTGCGGCCCCCACCCATCTGCCGAGGCCGCGCACCTGAGGAAGCCGGTGGCGTTGTAGAAGATCTCCGCCTCTGAGGCGTTCTGCTGGATGAGTGGGGGACCCCCAGACCCCGACAGGGGGCTCAGCACCAGGTCGGTGAGCTGTTCCAGAGTGTCTCTGGCCAGGCGGTCCTTCAGGTGGTCGCTGGATGAAAGGTTCCACAGGATTCCTGGACGAGGGGGAGGCTGCTGTGAGCGTCAGCCCTCCAACCCCCTGGGCGTTTCTGAGGATGGTGCGAGGAGGTCCTGCCTCTCCCCAGGGCTGGCCCTGTGTTCTGTGCCTCATTCACGAGCCCCACTGGGGAGACCCTGGGGTGGCATCTGGGGTGACAGAGCTCGGACCAAGCAAGAGGGGACGAGCTGGTTGGGGTGTGAGCGGGCTGGGGGTGGAGGTAGCTACCAGAAGACTCAGCCGCAGAACAGGGTGACCAGGGGTCCAGGAAAGAGGCAGGAGTGGAGGCCAAGTAGAAACAGCCAGCAAAGGGCTGAACAGCAGGATGGAGGGGAGCCGTATGGCGTGGAGGGGCCAGCACGGAGGAGAAAGGACAGTCGGAGGAGGGAGGGGAACAGGCAGAAGAGGGGTCAGGCGGAGGAAGGGACAGGCAGAGGAGTTGGAGGTAGAGGAGGGAGAACAGGTCGGGGGACACAGGACAGGAGGAATGGGGCCAGGCAGAGGGTGTAGGTGGAGGAGGGAGGACAGATGGAGGGCAGGTGGAGGAAGGCTGGGAGGAGGAGGGGCCAGGCAGCACCTGTGACGTTTTTGCGAAGCTCATCGTCCTGCTCCCGCAGGGTCCGAAGCAGCTCAAAGATCCCGTTCTCCTCCACCAGCGCCAGCTTGTTGTCTGCATTGTCGTAGATGAGGTTGCGCATGGCGCCTGTGGCGTGGCGCTGCACTTCCTGGTTGGCATGGTTAAAGAGCTTCACCAGCCTCGGCACGGCCTGAAGGCTGCGGGCCTGTGGGCACAGGGATATGGGGTGAACAGACTAGATACATGTGTGTAGATATGTCCAGGTGTATAGATATGGATATGCAGGTGATGCAGGTGTATACACAGGTGCAGAGGTGATGAGGTGTGTGCAGGGAGCTGGAGGTGATGCAGGTGTACACAGGTGCAGAGGTGATGAGGTGTGTGCAGGGAGCTGGAGGTGGTGTAGGTGTACACAGGTGTACGGAGGTGATGCAGGTGTACACAGGTGTACGGAGGTGATGCAGGTGTGTACACAGGTCTACGGAGGTGATGCAGGTGTATACAGAGGTGCAGAGGTGATGAGGTGTGTGCAGGGAGCTGGAGGTGATGCAGGTGTGTACAGGTGTACGGAGGTGATGCAGGTGTACACAGGTGTACGGAGGTGATGCAGGTGTGTACACGGGGCTACGGAGGTGATGCAGGTGTGTACACGGGGCTACGGAGGTGATGCAGGTGTGTACACGGGGCTACAGAGGTGGTGCAGGTGTGTACAGGGCTACGGAGGTGGTGCAGGTGTGTACAAGGCTACGGAGGTGATGCAGGTGTGTACACGGGGCTACAGAGGTGGTGCAGGTGTGTACAGGGCTACGGAGGTGGTGCAGGTGTGTACAAGGCTACGGAGGTGGTGCAGGTGTGTACACGGGGCTACGGAGATGATGCAGGTGTGTACACGGGGCTACGGAGGTGGTGCAGGTGTGTACAAGGGTACGGAGGTGATGCAGGTGTGTACACGGGGCTACGGAGGTGGTGCAGGTGTGTACACGGGGCTACGGAGGTGATGCAGGTGTGTACACGGGGCTACGGAGGTGATGCAGGTGTGTACACGGGGCTACGGAGGTGGTGCAGGTGTGTACACGGGGCTACGGAGGTGGTGCAGGTGTGTACACGGGGCTACGGAGGTGGTGCAGGTGTGTACACCGGGCTACGGAGGTGGTGCAGGTGTGTACACGGGGCTACGGAGGTGGTGCAGGTGTGTACACGGGGCTACGGAGGTGGTGCAGGTGTGTACACGGGGCTACGGAGGTGGTGCAGGTGTGTACACGGGGCTACGGAGGTGGTGCAGGTGTGTACACGGGGCTACGGAGGTGGTGCAGGTGTGTACACGGGGCTACGGAGGTGGTGCAGGTGTGTACACCGGGCTACGGAGGTGGTGCAGGTGTGTACACGGGGCTACGGAGGTGGTGCAGGTGTGTACACGGGGCTACGGAGGTGGTGCAGGTGTGTACACGGGGCTACGGAGGTGGTGCAGGTGTGTACACGGGGCTACGGAGGTGGTGCAGGTGTGTACACGGGGCTACGGAGGTGGTGCAGGTGTGTACACGGGGCTACGGAGGTGATGCAGGTGTGTACACGGGGCTACGGAGGTGGTGCAGGTGTGTACACGGGGCTACGGAGGTGGTGCAGGTGTGTACACGGGGCTACGGAGGTGGTGCAGGTGTGTACACGGGGCTACGGAGGTGGTGCAGGTGTGTACACCGGGCTACGGAGGTGGTGCAGGTGTGTACACGGGGCTACAGAGGTGGTGCACATGTACACGGGGCTACGGAGGTGATGCAGGTGTGTACACGGGGCTACGGAGGTGATGCACATGTACACGGGTCTACGGAGGTGATGCAGGTGTGTACAGGGCTACGGAGGTGGTGCAGGTGTGTACACGGGGCTACGGAGGTGATGTAGGTGTGTACAAGGCTACGGAGGTGATGCAGGTGTGTACACAGGTCTATGGAGGTGATGTAGGTGTGTACAAGGGTACAGAGGTGATGCAGGTGTGTACAGGGCTACGGAGGTGGTGCAGATCTGTATAGGGTATGGAGGTGATGCAGGTCTGTATAGGTATATGTGGCTGATACAGGTATATCCACATTGTATTCTCCTACTCTTCCTTTATGAGGGGGCTCTGGACAGAGTAGGGTCTGCCCAGTCAGCCTGGGGATCTTGAGGGGTGGTCAGGGAGCAAAGGTCAGTGGGAGGTGGTGGAGCCCCAAAGGTGGTCACCTGGGGGCAGTGAGCAGGTGGTCAGGGATGGTCACCTGGGGGCAGTGAGCGGGTGGTCAGGGGTGGTCACCTGGGGGCAGTGAGCGGGCGGTCAGGGGTGGTCACCTGGGGGCAGTGAGCGGGTGGTCAGGGGTGGTCACCTGGGGGCAGTGAGCGGGCGGTCAGGGGTGGTCACCTGGGGCAGTGAGCGGGCGGTCAGGGGTGGTCACCTGGGGGCAGTGAGCGGGTGGTCACCTGGGGGCAGTGAGCGGGTGGTCAGGGGTGGTCACCTGGGGGCAGTGAGCGGGTGGTCACCTGGGGCAGTGAGCGGGTGGTCAGGGGTGGTCACCTGGGGGCAGTGAGCGGGTGGTCAGGGGTGGTCACCTGGGGGCAGTGAGCGGGCGGTCAGGGGTGGTCACCTGCTTCTTGGCGGCGGCATCGCTGTAGCACTTGTGCTGGATGTAGGCTGCTCCCAGCACTTGCAGATTGGGGTCTGAAGCCATGAGGTACTTGACTGCTGATGGCAGGTCAATGTCATCAAAACTGCAGAGCCAGGAGTCAGAGGTCAGGGGTCAGGCTAAACTTGGGTTCAGGCTGGGGCCATGGCAGAAGCCCCCTCCCTGTGCCAGGCACAGCCCCTCACCCGCTGCTGAGCCTCTGCAGGGTTCGGTGGCCACTGTAGCTGTTGAACTCACGCACGTCCCCCAGGTGACCTGAGTCAGCCAGGCTGAGGCTGAGGCTGCGCACAGATGGTGCTCGGGCCACAGGCTCCAGGACGGGCCCAGGCGCTGTCCCGCCTACCCCGCGGCTCCGGTGGCTGCTCTGGAATCGCTGCAGGGTCCTCATAGCAGGGGCACGGATGGTCCGGCTCGGGGGAAGCTCGCTGGCCTCTGGCCAGTCCAGCCCCCCTGCCCGGGCCGAGCTGGAGCTGGCCTGGCGCTCGTAGGCAAAGGTCCTGTAGGTGGAGGTGGCCGCGGGCTCCAGCTGCTCAGACACCACACTGTAGCGGTCGTCCAGGCCCCCAGCCCCCAGCCGCAGGGAGCGCAGGGACAGCGTGTCATACTCGGCCCTGCTCCCAACCCCACCATGCTCGTGGAAGGACACAGGCCTGGTGGGCATGGGAGGGGTGGGCTGGGCACCCCCGTACCCAGCGGCCACAAAGGCGCTGCCCCCGTTGTGGGCGGAACTCAGCCTCCGACTGCAGCTCAGGTCCACGGCAGAGCGGGAGGACCAGGAGGCCGGACTGTAGGGTGGCTTGGCAATGGGCCGGAAGCCCTGTGGGTGGAGGGGGCAGTGAGGACGCGCCTGGCTCACCTGTGCCCAGCCTGCTGCAGAGCCTCCCGCTCTCCAGACTGCAGAGCCCAGATTGCCCCCCCCCAGGCTGGGCCATCACTCACCAAGGTCTTGTCCCCACTCAGGCCCTGAGAGCGAGAGCTGAAGCCGGCCTGCAGGGTGTGGTACTGCCCCCTGGATGCACCTGCGGAGAGGGACAGTGGGAGTCCAGCTCTGCCAGACAGCAACTCACTGGCCTCCTGCCTCCTCTCCACCAGTCCATCTCCATTCACAACCCTGGGAGCAGCCTCAGTCCCGGGCAGGGAGGCCAGGCGGGCCCGGGGGCCAGTGCCTCCCCGTTCCTGCCATGTCCTGATCTCCTCACCTGTCAGCCTGGTGGTCCACCTTCCACAGCCCACCCCCCAGCTGTGCCTCCTCTACCGGAGAAGGCAGATGCGCTCACCCTCTGACCTCCTGGTCCCTGGGGAATGTGCCAGGGACTCTCTGTCCAATCCCTGCCATGGTATAGCACCTGGCCCCCTCCTCCAGGAAGCCATCCTAGTCTGCCCCGGCCCACACTGACTTTTTTTGAGCTCCTCCTGTGCCCAGACCTCATCTGTGCCCAGTCACCGGAGAGTGCCCTGTCTCTCTAGACCAGTATGTCCTGTTGCAGTGCCCTCTCCCACCTGGCAGAGCCCGAGGCAGGGGCCACACCCATCCCATCCAGCCGCACACAGGCCAAGGGCAGCTGCATCAGCCCAGCCCCACAGTGAGTGGACAGACAGGTAGGTGGGTGGGGGGAGGGGGGAGGATGGAGTGATGGGCAGGAGGAGGGCAGAGAGCGGGGGGGGGAGGATGGAGTGATGGGCAGGAGGAGGGTGGGGGTGGAGGAAGGAGGATGGAGTGAGGGGCAGGGGGAGGGTGGGTGTGGAGGGGGGAGGATGGAGTGAGGGGCAGGAGGATGGTGGTGGTGGAGGGGGGAGGATGGAGTGAGGGGCAGGAGGATGGTGGTGGTGGAGGGGGGAGGTTGGAGTGAGGGGCAGGAGGAGGGCGGGGGGAGGGGGGAGGATGGAGTGAGGGGCAGGAGAATGGTGGGGGTTGGGGGGAGGATGGAGTGATGGGCAGGAGGAGGGCAGGGGGGCCGCTGTGAGTGTTGAAAAGATGGAGAGTGCTGGGTGGAGAGTGGAGAGTGGGCGGCGAGTGAGGGTCCCACAGGTGGATGGTGACTGGGCATCAGGAGGAACCCATGGGTGGGCAGAGTGGACAGGCTGGCGGTGGGGGCATGAGAGGGCCTGGCAGGGCAACCTGGCTGAGGCACTCAGGGTGGGGTGTGGGAAGGGGGCCATGGCCTCCCACAGCTCTGCCCAGAGCTGGACGCTCTGTGCGGGACACCCCACATCAGGGGCCTCACCCATCCTGGTTAATGGGGCTTCTGGGCAGGGGCTATTAACCCTGTGACGCTCCTGAGGCCCAGCCTGGAGTGGGGGCACGCCCCAGCCTAGAGACCTCGCCCCCACCCCCCAATTATAATTCACCTCCCTCTAATTGGCAGGATAGCCGGGTGGTAATTAACCCTTCCCTTATCCTCCTCCACCCCATGACCCCTGGGCACCCAGCTTGGTCACCAGCAAGGCTGAGTTCCAGGGAGGGAGGACCCCTCAGTCCAGGCCTCAGGGCTGGCCCCTCTGCTGGGCGACTGTCACTTCCCCTGGCCAGTGGCTGGAGGCCAGTCCTGGGGAGGCCCCTCTAAACACCAAGTGGACCACAACCAACTGGCATCTGGGTCCCTGGCATTCTGGGAGGTTCATCTCACTGTCTAACCTTAATCCCTGTTGCTGTAGCGTGGCAAAGGACATTTCTAGAGCCACTGCCTTCTACTCCCAGTGTGTGTGTGAGCCTGTCACCTGCTCTCACTGGCACACACACACTCGCTTGAGCGGGGCCAGGATTCCGCCACGGGTGGGCCTGGCCGGCACCGAGGGTGCTCCTCCACCTGCTGTCCCCACAGAGAAATCTGGGTCACTCCAGCCGGCCTTCCCCTCTAATTCCTCAGGGAGCCCCTGGCCCAGACAGGCCTGGCTTCCCTCCAGGACTTGCGGCGTCCCCACCGCTCCCCGCTTTCCTGCTCTGCTCTTCCCACGAGGTGTTGGGGGAGCGTGGGTGTCTGGGTGTCCTGAGACCCTGCGTGAGCCTGTGCTGCCTGGGCCAGGTGAGGGTGTGTTCGGGGTTTCCCGACCCAGGGGCCTGGACCACCTGCTAGGTGCCAGCCTTCCCGTCACCCCCCACAGGGAGGGCTCAAGGCTGGGCACAGGTGGGGCCCAGCCAGGCTCCACATCTGGAGAACCCCGGGATCCATGCTTGTATGAGGCCGCCCCACCCACGGCTTCTCCCCACGCCCGTTGGGGCGGGGTGCATGACTCAGTGTGAGGCCTGGGTGAGTCAGGAGCTGAACCCTGGAGCTGGCCCGCCGAGGCCTCTGCCCTCTCACCGTCCCACTGCCCCACCGTCCCCGCCGCCTGGCACCCGCCTTGCGGCCGTGGCCTACCTCGGGTTGTCTCGGCCTGGGCCTCGGGCTCGGCGGCCCCGTTGTGCCGCGGCTGCTGCCCCAGTTGCAGGAGGCGGGCGCGGACCTGCTCCTGGACACGGGCTGCCCGCAGCCGCTCGGCCTCTGGCCCCTCTGCGGCCCGGCGGTCCAGCTGCAGGTCAGAGGGCAGCGCCAGGGAGCACACGCCAGCCTCTGGCTGCAGGGCCGACAGCAGGAAGTTACCATCCTGCATGGCGGTGGGCGCCTGCCGTCCTCGGGCCTGGGCCTCGCGGCCGCCTCTGAACCCAACTGTCTTCACTCCGTCCTGTCCCTCGAGGCCCTCTCCCCGGAGTCCCCGCCCCGCCGGCCTCACCCAGAGCCGCCTGGAGACAGACGCCTGCCCAGCCCCGAGCACAGCTGGGGGCGGGGACACCTGGCCAGGTGGGAGGGAGGGGCTGCGGCCTGCTTAAGGTGGAATTTGGGTGGAAGAACAGGCCCCGCCTGCATGGCCCCAGGTCCCAGCCTGGCCTCCTGCCTCCTTTTCTCCCATCCACAACTGGGCCACCGGCCTGGGTCCTCCTTGTTCTTGGCCTGTAAAGGCCAGACTGGGCCCTTTGTGGTGGGGGTTGGACAGAGGGGCCCCCTGTGTCCTGAGTATCGGGGAAGGGCCAGGGGCTTTCAGGGGATATGTCCCGTCACCCCCAGCCTGAATGGGAGCTGTCCCACCCCGCGGGGTCTAGGGCCTGTGGGAGCTCTGAGGACCAGGCAGCCTCCATGGTAGCCCAGCCTTGCTGGGGAGGCAGGGATGAGGCCGAGGTAGGGTTGGCAGGAGACAGTGTGTAGGGGGGGCAGGGGTCAGTGCCAGGGGTCAGGACAAAGGCTGGAGGGGTGGAGCTTTAGGGTCCAACGGGACCCCATGGAGCCCTGGCCCTGGTCCTCAGAACCCAGTGAGCCCCTCCCCACCAGGAAGCCTGTGGATGGACCAGCCCTCCCTCTAGGCCTGCAGACCCTGGAACTCACCCCCAGGACCCCCTCACCCCCCACAGAGGCCTCCAAAGAGCTGGATCGACCCCCTCTGGCTCCCAGGACCCTGGCACCACTCTGCTCCTGTCCTCCAGGCCCTGGGTTGAGAGGCTGTTCCCAGCACATGAGTCAGGGTGCAGTGGGTGGGGCTGCCCCAGGGGGTTGACTCAGAGGGACCTGGCCCGCCAGGCTTGGGGCAGGAGTGGGTGTGTGGGGAAGAACCAGGGGGTTCTGGGAGAGCGGAGGCTGGGGTGGAGAGGGTGTGAGGGTGGAGTGGGTGGGGATGGGGGTGCCAGGGGGTCTGGGGGAGCGGAGGCTGGGGTGGAGAGGGTGTGAGGGTGGAGTGGGTGGGGATGGGGGGTGCCAGGGGGTCTGGGGGAGCGGAGGCTGGGGTGGAGAGGGTGTGAGGCTGGAGTGGGTGGGGATGGGGGTGCCAGGGGGTCTGGGGGAGCGGAGGCTGGGGTGGAGAGGGAGTGAGGCTGGAGTGGGTGGGGATGGGGGTGCCAGGGGGTCTGGGGGAGCGGAGGCTGGGGTGGAGAGGGTGTGAGGGTGGAGTGGGTGGGGATGGGGGTGCCAGGGGGTCTGGGGGAGCGGAGGCTGGGGTGGAGAGGGAGTGAGGCTGGAGTGGGTGGGGATGGGGGTGCCAGGGGGTCTGGGGGAGCGGAGGCTGGGGTGGAGAGGGAGTGAGGCTGGAGTGGGTGGGGATGGGGGTGCCAGGGGGTCTGGGGGAGCAGAGGCTGGGGTGGAGAGGGAGTGAGGCTGGAGTGGGTGGGGATGGGGGTGCCAGGGGGTCTGGGGGAGCGGAGGCTGGGGTGGAGAGGGATTGAGGGTAGAGTGGGTGGGGATGGGGGCCCAGATCAAACGAGGCTTCTGCCTGGAAGATCTCCCTTGAGCACCACAGCCAGTGCGGCCGCAGGAGGGCTCTGGGACAGGCCCTGGTAGATGGGGGTGGGGGGCAAGCCTTGGAGGGCTGAGGGTGGGAGCTGAACATCTGTGATCCCCCTCCGGCTTCCCTCAGGAGCTCGTCTGACAGCCTGTGCCTCTCCCCGGACCCTGGACTCTGGCTCTGGGCTCTCCTCCAGGGCAGACCCTTAACCCAGCCCCGTCCCCTGAAGACTTTTGCCCTAGTGGGGCTGGGGGCAGAGGTCTGGTGTGGGGGTGGGGTCAGTGCTGAGGGGGCAGAAACTGGAGGGTGGGAGTCAGAGGTCAGTGTTGGGAGTTAGAGGGGGAAGGGAGGCCTCTGAAAGGATGGGGAGGCTGGGCTGGGGCTGCCAGGGGCGGGGGTGGAAGACCTACCTTGCCTGTGGTCCGGACCCCACCAGCCTCCCAGCTCATCCCAGAGGCCACTGTGGATGGCCAAGGTGTCCTGGGCTCCATCCCCGGCCCAGCGTTCGGGGCAGCCTCTGCGTCGGGCCAGGACTGTGGGGCCCCGGAGGGCGGGGTGGGAACGCCCAGCACATCAGACTGGCTGCTTCCCTGGGAGACGGGTTTTGTGTGGAAAAATCCTGGGAGACAAGTTGGTGCGGCGCAGAGCGGGCTGAGGTATGTACCTGGCACGGGCTGGGGCCCGCCCTGCACCCAGGTCCACCCCAGGCCCACCTGGGGCCCTGCCGAGTCCAGGCTGGCCCTGTTGACAGGGAAGCCGGCCTGGAGGATCTCTGCAGCCCCGGCAGTCCGTAGGGCTCACGAGTGGGCGCCGTGGAGGGGCTTCCGTGCGGCCCGAGCCGGGATGGGAATGCTGGTGCCTGTGGCCTGCGATTCTGCTGACCTTCCCTCCTCCCCTTGGCAGAGAGGGCTGCAGGTGCCCCCCCAGAGCTGTGCTGCCTCCCTGAGGATGCGTGGTCCCTGCCAGGCAGTTTTGGCAAAGCTGGGAAGTTTTGGCAAAGCCGGGCACCTGGGCGCACCTTCGCTCACTGCTGCAGGGCCAGAGGGATGCGATGCCGGCCGGGCCTGTCACTACAGCTCCAGCCCAGGCCCGGAGGAGTCTTGTCTGACCCTGTGACCAGCCCTGAATGTCTCACTCTCCCAGGAGCCCTGGAGGAGGCGGTTGTCCCTGGAGCCTGGAATCTGCATCTGGCCTCAGGCCGCTCTGGTGCACCGTCAGGTTGACAGCCTGGCAGCTGGGAGCCTCGAAGGGCGAGTGAGTGAGCGCTGCTCTTCGATGGGTCCCAGGTGGCGGGTGGCCTGTCTATCATCTCCAAGAGGAGGTAGGAGAGGGCACAGGAGGCCTTCAGCGGGCGGTGGGCTCAGCGTGGGGCACGGGAGGCTCTCGGAGAAGGCGGGCTGGCCCAGGTGCCAGCCTGGAGTTGTGGGAGGGCACAGAAGACAAACCTCCAGGGCAGAGGGGGTGGGGTGGGCGGATTGAGGAACAGAAGAGGGAGAATCTGGGCAGAAAGGCGTGAGGATGTTAAAAGCAAAACAGTCTCAAAACCGAAGTGAGGAGTGTGCTGCCGCACAGAGACTCGGGAGGCGGCCTCCGGTCCCAGCGCCTGAGGGGGGAGGCGGGCAGTGCCTCGGGGAGTGATGGCACCCAGTGATGGCACCCAGTGCCTGGGTGGGTGATGGACCTGGTGTGGGGACACAGCTCACCCAGAGGCAAGCGTCCTGGTCTTCCTGTTAGCACCCACGCTTGCAAACCTTCCGAGCTGGGCTCTAGCCAAGTCTGGCCCAGGGCCCAGCCGCTCCGCGGAACCTACGGGGCTGCCCGTGGGCACCACCCCCACCCTCTGGAGTGTGGCCGGGTGCTGGAACAGCTCTGAGATCTCCAGCCTTGGCCTTTGGCCTGAAAGGTGGCTGAGGGGTATGGCCCCCATAGGCTCTTGGGGGGGGCCCTTTCATCTGCACACACCCCACCTACTGCTGGCCTGTGGGTCAGCCTGTCCATCTGTCCATCCAGCATTTGTGGCTCACTGGACGTGTTGGGCTCTTCCTAAGCCCCTGGCAAGGCTCTGGGCAAGGGTGTGTGTGTCTGAGACAGGCAGGGCACATCTGGGGGCTCTCCCAGGGTCTGTCAGGGCCTGGTGGGGCACAGTGAACAGACAGCAGCCCCCAAGTAAGGATGCTAGTCGAGGTGGCTGGTGCAGCAGAGGCCTCTGGCTCCGGAGACCCTGTAGCTGCCCTCCAGACAGGCGGTCCCCAAAGGGACCTGAAGAGCCCAAAAGGAGCAGAGTGGTGTCTGACAGCAGGATGCTGATACCCTGGATACTCTTCAGGAGGACAGCAGCCTCCAGATGGAGAATCAAGTAAAGGGCAGGGAGGGGGCAGATAGGGCTGAGGAGGTGATGGCTGGTGTCTGGGTCGCGGTGGGGGGCGGATGAAAAGCACCTGCCCCTCCCACCGCCCAACCGTGAGTGCCCTGCACTGCTGGGTGCAGGTGGATGCAGCCTCCCTCAGGTGCCTGGGCTGGGGTCCTGGTGTGCCGGCACCACCAAACACTTCATTCTTACTCTTGTTGCTGTTAATGTATATATTTTTTAAGACAGTCTTGCTCTGTTGCCCAGGCTGGAGTGCAGTGGCACCATCTCAGCTCACCACAACCTCTATCTCCAGGTTCAAATCATTCTCCTGCCTCAGCCTCCCGAGTAGCTGGGATTACAGGTGCGTGCCACCATGCCCAGCAAAAAATAAAAAAATGTTTTTTTATTTTTAGTAGAGATGGGTTTTCACCATGTTGGTCAGGCTGGTCTCGAACTCCTGACCTCGTGATCCGCCCGCCTCGGCTTCCCAAAGTGCTGGGATTACAGGCGTGAGCCACCGCACCCCGCCTTCCTACTCTGTTCTTAATCCTCATTGGAATTCCAGAAGGGCAGCGCTATCACACCTTCCATCTTACAGGTGGGGAAACTGAGGCCCCACAGGCTACTGACTTTCCAGAAGTTACCAAGCAAGCCAGGGTGTGTAGATAAATTTCTGGCCCCGAATGACAGCAGATTTCAGGCCCTGGGGCTGGGTGGGTCGGGGCTCCCATTTGCTCCGTTGAGTGGCGTCTTGGCAGTGGCCACTCTGGATGGGCTGCTGCCGTCACGCCACCTCTGAAGAGCTCCATCTAACTGCCATTAGGACAGGGACGATGCCACTCTAACTCCTCATGCTGACGGGGCCATCGTTTTGGGAAAACGCAGCCAGGTCTCTCTCGAGGCCTATCTAAGGGTTCCTGGAGAAAGGGGGCCATCATCCAAGGCTCATCTGCAGGACCATTTGGGGTCTGACGGCCCATCCCTTTTGTTTCTTCTGAGCTGCAGTCAGAGGTCACGGGTCGATTCACTCCACAACTGAGAAAGCCACTTGATGCTGGAAAACAAAGAATCAGCGTGTTCCAAGCAAAAGAGTCAGAAGAGGTGACTTCAGGGGTCAGCGCCTGTTTTCGGTCTCCCAAGTTGCGATCCGTGCTCTCTTCATTCATCCTTTGAAGAGAATCAAAACAAGACAATTGTCTGCACGTCAGAGCACCCTAGGGTAGCACAGTCTAAAGCACGACCGACAAAGGAACGTGGCCACCTCTGTGGTCTGCGATGGCCTCACGTGGCCACCTCTGTGGTCTGCGATAGCCTCGCACGAGAACCGTGATCACGACGGAACACTCAGATATCAGGGTTTTGGAAACCGCGCGCCATTCTGGAACACATATTAATGTTACTCACTAAAATATAACCTGAAGATCAAACGCCACCTTATTTTCATCATTCTGTGTAACTAAACATGTCTTAAAACACTTAATAGGCGGCCGGGCACGGTGGCTCACGCCTGTAATCCCAGCACTTTGGGAGGCTGAGGCAGGTGGATCACCTGAGGTCACAAGTTTGAGACCGGCCTGGCCAACATGGCAAAACCCCGTCTCTACTAAGAATCTAAAAGAGTAGCTGGGGGTGGTGGCACACACCTGTAATCCCAGATACTCAGAAGGTGGAGGCAGAGGCTACAGTGAGCCAAGATTGTGCCACGCCACTCCAGCCTGGGTGACAGGGCAAGACTCCATCTCAAAAACCAAAAACAAAAACAACCCTCCCCAAAAAACATTTAATAGAATTTCAGGTTATGTAAGTCATCCATATAGCCAAAATGATGACTCAAGTTTTTAAAAAAGCAAAAGTTTTTACTCATTAAGAGGGCCGGGCCAGGCGCGGTGGCTCAAGCCTGTAATCCCAGCACTTTGGGAGGCTGAGGCGGGTGGATCATGAGGTCAAGAGATCGAGACCATCCTGGTCAACATGGTGAAACCCCGTCTCTACTAAAAATACAAAAAATTAGCTGGGCATGGTGGTGCGTGCCTGTAATCCCAGCTACTCAGGAGGCTGAGGCAGGAGAATTGCTTGAACCCAGGAGGCGGAGGTTGTGGTGAGCCGAGATCACGCCATTGCACTCCAGCCTGGGTGACAAGAGCGAAACTCCGTCTCAAAAAATAAATAAATAAATAAATAAATAAATAAATAGGGAAGACTTGTTTTTCCAAAGAGCCTGTCTGTTATCCTTCCCTTCTTTTTCAGTAGTTTATTCACAAGGCAAACAAAAGTGTTTCATTACACGAAGATCTTGTTTGAGAGAAAAAGCCAGATTTCACCCTTGTATCAGTTTACCATTACGGTCAACCTCAATTTTTAAAATGAAACCTTACAGACAAATCAATCCAATCTTAATCAGTTTGACCACAAGGTGAGATTCTTATAAACCTTTTATAACCCTTTACAGATTTTTGTAAAAGATCAGGGTAGTTTGTCAAGAAGACCTTGTGGTGCTTTTATTCCATCGTTCGATCTATGGATGAAGCAAATTAGAACCTTTTGAATTGGGTCGATATAAATTTCTTTTATGAGATGAATTTTTATTTATAACCCTTCCACAATTTGTTCAAACCTTTAGCTTTTAAACAGCCTTTAACCCTCTAAACTCAGGTAGAAATTTACCTTCCCCCTTCATTCACCTCAGAGAACAACAACAACAAAAAAGTTTACCTTCCCTTGCCTTGTTATAATCTTTTACCAAACCACATTTTACTCTCCCCACACACCTTGCATGTAAATCTATTTTCAGTAGTCTCAATTACATGTTATAATGACAACTCCTGACCATTTTTAATTTCGGTGTAGAACACGGTGAGTTATTTTAATTATGTATTAGGCGCAGGTAAGGTCTGGTTCTTTCCAGCATAGTTAGTGGTGTGGCTGCGCTGTATGTCCCCAGCCTTCACCAAACTGTAAACCAGGCAAGCTGAACAGTTTTCAGAAGCCAAGAAGTAGTGTAAGGCCGGGCGCGGTGGCTCCCGCCTGTAATCCCAGCACTTTGGGAGGCCGAGGCGGGTGGATCACGAGGTCAAGAGATCGAGACCATCCTGGTCAACATGGTGAGACCCCGTCTCTACTAAAAATACAAAAAATTAGCTGGGCATGGTGGCGCGTGTAATCCCAGCTACTCGGGAGGCTGAGGCAGGAGAATTGCCTGAACCCAGGAGGCGGAGGTTGCAGTGAGCCGAGATCGCGCCATTGCACTCCAGCCTGGGTAACAAGAGCAAAACTCCGGCTCAAAAAAAAAAAAAAAGCAGCACTTTATGAGCTCGAAGCATTCATCAAACCCAGTATCTGACCTGCATAATTGGGGCCACATGTACACTCTGAAGACATTTAATTTTTAAAACTTTTTAAAAACATTTAATTTTTAAAACTTTTTATTTCTCAAAGATTAAAGTCACATGAACTGAAAGACATCACAACTTCTATTCTTCTTTAAGACTATTTGATCTAAGTGCTTATTTCACCTTAAGCCAACCAGTTAGAGTTCTTTTATATAAACCTCACACGTATCACACGTATATAACTACCCAGACAGACAAAAGGAGATCCTGTAGTTGGGAGATTTTTCATGTGCTAATCTCTTAATTGGATCCCTGGCCCCAGAGTGGAGCTCTTCTGGAGCCAGGGCTAGAAAAACATGCAGTTTCTAAGGCCTGATAAGTGGGCACGGCTGGAAAACCAAACAGATTTTGAGAGGAATCCATTCACTTCTAATTCCTGAGGTTCAGGGAGGGAAACAGAGGTTTCTCCTAAAACAAGGTCAGCAGCACCTTCTCTGCCTTACCAAGGAGTCCCAGACCATCAGAAGTTTATCTTGGGGCCGCTTATGTGTGCATTAGAGTGGCAAAACAAGGCCCGGGCATGGTGGCTCACACCTGTAATCCTAGCACTTTGGGAGGCCAAGGTGGTGGATCACCTGAGATCAGGAGTTCGAGACCAGCCTGGCCAACATGGTGAACACTGTCTCTACTAAAAATACAAAAATTAGCCAGGTGCAGTGGTGCAAATCAGTTTGCGATCTGGGCTCACCACAACCTCTGCCTCCTGGGTTCAGGCAATTCTCCTGCCTCAGCCTCCTGAGTAGCTGGGATTACAGGCACGTGCCACCATGCCCAGCTAATTTTTTGTATTTTTAGTAGAGACGGGGTCTCACTATGTTGACCAGGATGGTCTCGATCTCTTGACCTCGTGATTCACCCACCTCGGCCTCCCAAAGTGCTGGGATTACAGGCGTGAGCCACCACGTAATCCCAGCTACTTGGGAGGCTGAGGCAGTAAAATCACTTTAACCCAGGAGGTGGAGGTTGCAGTGAGCTGAGATTGTACCAGTGCACTCCAGCCTGGGTGACGGCACAAGATTCCTTCTCAAAAGAAAAAAAAAAGACTGGCAAGACAAAAATGGAGAAAAATAATTTAGCTGACTGAAAAGAAAAAAAAAAACTTTCTTCAGGAAAACAGGATCCACAAAGAGAAATGACATACAGACCTTTTGAATATATGTATCGCTTGGATATCCGTGGACATCCGCTTTTAATTAAGCTAACTTTTAACCCTAGCATTCCTTTGCTAAAAAGTCATTTGATATGTTTTATTACCTGACCTCAGCCATGCCAAGTGGCCAATGCTTCTGGCTTTTGAACTCATGGAGGTGTAGAGAATATAGTGATTTTTGTTGTTGTTGTTGCCATTCCTACAATCAGTTTGCACAAAGAGAGGGTATGACTGGCAAGAATCTTTACCCTTTTGCTGGCATGCCAGGCATCTGGGTTCCTTTCCCCCAAGCCATAGAGCTCTGTTGACCTTGGAGTCCTGTGAAGGGGGAATGGACAACGAGAAGTCATTCCTCCTCAAGAGATTTCCAAGCAGTTTAATGTTTGGGAAAACGAAACTCTTCCCGTTTGGGGGATGTACCCGAGGGGAGTGTCCTGTTGCACAGAGATGTGATTACCCATCCATGAAGCAAGAACGGAAGAGGGAAAAAGTAAAAAGACTTTTTTTCTTAAGCGTCTGAAGGTCAAATGAATTCTAGTGATTTTAGGTGCATTCGAGGAATGCAGGCTGAAAATTATTGATTGGTTACCCATCTGGAAATGGGGAAAAGGCAACCCTGTGTTCCCCTCTCTTTCCAGCTAATACCCAGGGTATGTGACAGAGAGGAGGCCTTTTTCTACTTCCAACATTACATCCCCGAGTCCCAGAGACCAGGGCAGGTGCTGACCATTGGTGCAAGTTCAACCTTCACCCATGAAGCGGGGAGGCTCAGCCAGCAGGAATATTCATGCTCATCTGTGTGGTGCCTAAGGCTCCCACTGTGAGTAACCTCCGAGTTCCCTAGACCTTATCTGTGCCGTGGATGTGAGCATGACCTCCATCCTTGAAGCAGGAGGGCCTAATTGGCAGGGATCTGTCACACTCACCTGTGTCGTGCCCCTTGACTCCTGCTGTCATCTCCCTCAGGTCTAGTGCTCCATTCCGGGGATTCAAACTGAAGTTGGGATAAAAAAGGTGCCTCGGGAGGGTGTATGGACCCATTCAATCAGTCCCAAGTGGCTCTCGCCAAATTGCAGCTACTAACAGGTGGGGGCAGCCCCTCTGTTGCTTCCTTATTATAAACAGGTGGAGCTGTGGGGCCAGGACCTCCTCAAACAAGGGGGAGGAAGCAAGTCCCGGGAACTGGGGAAGTGGCCTGAGAAGATGCCTCCTTAAAGGAAAAGAAGCTAACCCCTTGCATAGAAAGCTCCCTGTATTCACAGGACGGTGTTGACTCCCGACGCGGTGGAGAAAGGGGACCTAAGATACCTCTCACGGTTGTGCCAAGAGATGGGGGGACCCAGAGTGGAGAGGAGAACCGGCAGGCCCACTCTGGAGTCCGGAAGGAGTCCATCCTCCTTCCCTCGGCCCCCAGAATCACCTGGGGCCCCTGGATAGCAGTGGTGGTCTGGACTGCTGGAGGTGGGGAGAGGAGCCCCAGGACCCATCAGTCCTGCTGTACCAGCTGGGAGACCAGCCCTAGACCCAGCAACCCACATCTCCAGGGACAGGCTGTCCTCCAGAGGTCCCTGCAAACTGGGCAGGGTCAGGGTGGCCTCCAGTGGTCCCCACAAACTGGGCAGGGTCAGGGTGGCCTCCAGTGGTCCCTGCAAACTGGGCAGGGTCAGGCTGCCCTCCAGTGGCCCCTGCAAACTGGGCAGGGTCAGGGTGGCCTCCAGTGGCCCCCGCAAACTGGGCAGGGTCAGGGTGGCGTCCAGTGGCCCCCGCAAACTGGGCAGGGTCAGGGTGGCGTCCAGTGGCCCCCGCAAACTGGGCAGGGTCAGGCTGCCCTCCAGTGGTCCCCGCAAACTGGGCAGGGTCAGGGTGGCCTCCAGTGGTCCCCGCAAACTGGGC